CCCTCACCCTAATTATTTCCCAGCCGCAAACGTCCCAAAAGAGAAAAAAAAAAAGGCAGTGCCTGCTCTCCACTGTCAACCACGATTTCGCGACCCCGATCCCATCCCTTTCGTATTTCTCGTTAAGGATCACAAACCCCTTCTCGATTTCTAAACTCGATTTATCGATGGTCTAATCCGAAACTCGTATTTTATTAGTGATAACGTTTGAAGGTTCGATCATCGATCAACGGGGAGATCAACGTCCCGAGCCATCCAATCTAGTCCTAGGCACGTTCTAGAGGTAAGGGAACTCGATCCCTTTGAGGATTTTTTAATATGTATTTCTATTTTTAAAAATTGTTTGAATATTTATTTTAATTAAATGAAAATCTTATAGAGCGATTTTAAGGGTTTGATAATTTTACACGGTATAGTTGCTCATGTTTGACATAGGAAAATTATTATCATAATTTTTAAGAAGGTTCAAGTTAGGTGAAAAATTCATCTAAGACAAAAATAATTAGGAAAAATTGTCGGTTTTGAAGGAATTATTTCTAGAAAATTTTTAAAGGGGGTTAAGGGACCTTCGGAGCGAGGCTCCAGGGCTGGATTTTTTAGGAGAGGATGTTCTAGTGATTCAAAAGAGGTTTTAAATCGAGAAAAATCGTCTGGATTCTTATTAATAGGTTTCCCCAAGATAATCTGGCTAAGGAGGGGTTTCTTCGAGGAAGGAATCGAGGAGTCATCTTTTCGAGGTGAGTGTAAAGAGGGTAAAATCTCTGCCGAGGTCTTTTAGTTATGCTTTTCGTTTCAAGTCGTTATCTAGATAATTTTTCTAGTATGCGTGATTATGTGTGTGAGGCATCCCACCGGCTATAAGGGTGGAGGCACGCGTTGTGCTGTGTATGAATGTTTGTATGTGGATGTATGGTTAATGTTTAGTAATGGAACCCCCTTGCGGTTGAGTCACTACTGGACGGCGAGACGTAACACAGTAGTTGACTGGGCATGGACTGACGACGAGACGTAACGCAGTGCCATTGCCGAGTTTGGATATGCAACCGGACGACGAGACGTAACGCGGTTGGCATAGTAGGGTAGGGACACCGGACGGCGAGACGTAACGCGGTGGTCCCTACTGTTGGTGTCTATGGATTCATAATATAAATAAGGAAATTCTAAAGATAAGATAGGAGTAGAGATCTCTTATAGACTGTTTGATAACAAAGTATAAAGGGTTAAAGCGAGAACGGTTTTTGTCTAAGTCAAGAACCCTAATAACGTGTCTAGTAAGGCGTTTCTTAGAGTGAAGACCTTAGGAAGTAACGACGAGACTGGCTCCTTCTCACTCACCAGGTGCATAGAGGGGAAGAGGACACATCCATCAAGAGGAGGTTACCCGAGGAGAGCAGCCGCGACAAACCTAAAGATGTCAACTGGATCTGGATAACGAATGGGACCTCCCATTATATCTGTCTTTTGTTTCATGTCTTGATGAGTATACTGGGAAACTCAAGGATTGTGTTTTATGTTTTGTTTCTCGGGATTGAGGTCACTCAAGTGTTTCTGGCATTTCTCTTGAGAATCTCAAAAATTGTTGTTGTTGATTTTTGGTTTTGACTTGTAAACCTGTTTTGGGTTGCTCCGGAGTAACCGGTTTGTGGTTTGAGTTATAAGTTGGTTTTCAAAAAGGATCGGGTCGTTTCATTTTGGTATCAGAGCCTGGTTGTCCTCTATTTCTTGGTCTCCAAGGAATACTGGAGTGACGATCTGGGTTTTCAAAGGTTTAGTTTTAAAGGAAACAGGGCAATTTCAAGAAAAATGGTTGGCCAACCGATTTGAAAAGGTTTATAGAGTCCCCAGTATACTCAAGCATGATAAGACATTAATGTGGTTCTAATAAGGGTACTGCTTACTTGCAGAGCAAGTAACACCAATGTTAATCACGCGGCAGCTAGGCAACCCCCGAATTATGAGGCTTTCTTGAGGCGAGAAGTGGTTGATTTTGATGGGTACCGCTCGAAGGATGCTAGTGAAGTAGAGAAATGGCTGGCGAAGGTCTCCGCATATTGACTGAAATGAGGGCAGATGATGAGGACAAGGTGCTACTGACAGTATCCCTGCTCCAGGATTCAGCATACAATCGGTGGTGCACCCAGCCAGCTAGCCAGGAAGACCCACCAACTATCACTTGGCCAAAGTTGGTGCGGGTGTTCCGAGATCACTATGTACCAGAGGCCTATCGACTGAGCAAAAAGAGAGATTTTTCGCTGATCAAGCAGGGATGGGGCAATGAAGGAGTGGAGAGTGTTGCAGAGTACACCTCCAGGTTTGAGAAGCTGCTGCCCTACGGGGGACCCTAGTTCCAGGATGCGGTATCTCAACGTGCCCACTATTTGGAGAGTCTGAAGACTTCCCTTAAGAAGCAGTTGAGCATGCTGTCGTGGAACAGTCAGGAGGAGATTTATCAGACGGCTCTTCGGATAGAGAGGGCTGACACAACTGTGCATGAAGAAGGGATACAACGAAAGGGAAGCAAAAGAAAGGCAAGTAGCATGCCAGAGTTGTTCGGCCAACCCAGTCAGTACAGAAGGCGGCTGAGTGGTATCAGTAGCTTTGGGGGTACTCAGAGTCAGATCGGCTCGGTCCGACCTGGTCAAACTTTCAGCAACAGAGGTCTTTGCAACCAGTGTGGTCGGGATCACTCAGGGGAGTGTAGGCAGACCCCCAGGGTCTGCTGTAACTGTAATGAGCCTGGGCATTTTGCTAGATAATGCCCCTGGAGAGGCGGACAAGGGATGGCTTAGTCCGAGCAGTCTGTCCGCGGTGGTGGACCGAGGACTCACGCAGGACCACGATTTGGCGGCCAGCCACTCCGCTCCTTCCAGAGCCGGGGAAGATGCACCGGGCGGTTCGACCGCACTGATCGGGATAGAGACTAGGGGCCTCCAGCAGGAGGACAACCAAGGGTATTTGCCATGGGAGGGATAGAGGGAGACCGTGGTGACGATGGAGGGGACGAACAAGCACATTGATGTGATCATGTGAAGAAATGGGGAGACTGTGTAGCAGAAGTATTTGCTTTAAGCATAGACCGCTAGTTGGTTTTTTTTTTTCGAAAGACGCTCTTTCAGTTTTAGTACTCGGTACCAGACCTATTAAATTAGTTCTGATCAAAATTTCGAGGTCGAAATTTTATTAAGGGGGAGGAAAATGTTATATCCTAACTTGAGAAGTTTTAGTCAAACACCAAAAGTTTAAGACCAAGTAATATCTTTCCGGTTCCAAATTTCGGGGACATAATTTTTATAAGGGTGGAGGAAATGTAACGCTCCGACCTTTGGGTTTAGATTCGACCTTAATACGTGACGATTGGATTGAAGGTTACATATTAGGAGTTGCAACCGCGGATTAAGAATAATAATATTATTATTATTATTATTGTTATAACATTACTTGTTAAAAAAAATCTATTAGTGGGGTGGCCAAAGTGGTTGGCGCCTCCACTCCCCACCCCACACACATCTCAATTAATAAATCCCCCACCCTAATTCTTTCAAAGTCGCAAACATCCCAGAGGAGGAAAAAAAGAAGAAGAAGAAAGGCAGCGCCTACTCTCCACTGTCGACCACGATTTCACAACCCCGATCCCATCCCTTTCGTAAGGATCACGAACTCCTTCGCGATTTCTAACTCGATTCATCATGGTCTAATTCGAAACTCTTATTTTATTAGTGGTGACGTTTGAGGGTTCGATCATCGATCAACGAGAAGATCAACGTCCCGTGCCATCCAATCTAGTCCTAGACACGCTCTAGAGATAAGGGAACTCGATCCCTTTGAGTTAGATCGATCGATTTGGTGATTTTTCGTGAGGGTGCAATTCTGGGTTTTTAGCAACATACATTACAAGCTTTTAGTGAAAGATTTTAGGTGGTCACTAAAACTGCTGGGAATTTGCAGAAATTTATTTTGGATGTTTTAAATTGTTTTGAGCCTCTTAGGGTGTTTGTTCCTAGGTTTAACAATTTTATAAATTGAGGGTGGTCTAGGAGATGGTGTAAATTAATATCAGGATTTTTGAAGATGTATTTCTATTTTTATAAATTGTTCGAATGTTTATTTTAATTAATAAAAATCTTACCGATGGGATTTTAAGGGTTTGATAATTTTACAGGGTATAGATGCTCATGATTGACATAGGAAATTATTATCATAATTTTTAAGAATGTTCAAGTTAGTTGAAAAATTCGTCTAAGACAAAAATAATTAGGAAAAATGGTCGGTTTTTGAAGGGATTATTTCTAGAAAATTTTTAGAGGGGGTTAAGGGACCTTTGGAGCGAGGCTCGAGGGTTGGATTTTTGAGAAGAGGATGTTCTAGTGATTCAAAAGAGGTTTTAAATCGAGAAAAGTTGTCTAAGAAAATGGATTCTTATTAATAGGTTTCCCCAAGATAATCCGACTAAGGAGGGGTTTCTTCGAGGAAGGAATCGAGGAGTCATCTTTTCGAGGTGAGTGTAAAGGGGGTAAAATCTCCGTCGAGGTCTTTTAGTTATGCTTTTCGTTTCAATTCATTATCTAGTTAATTTTTCTAGTATGCACGATTATGTGTGTGAGGCATCCCACCGCCAAGAAGGGTGGAGGCACGCATTGTGCTGTGTATGAATGTTTGTGTGTGGATGTATGGTTAATGTTTAGTAATGGAACCCCCGGGCGGTTAGGTCACTACTGGACGGTGAGACGTAACACAGTAGTTGACCGGGCATGGACTGGACGGCCAGACGTAACGTAGTGCCATTGCCGAGTTTGGGTATGCAACCGGACGACGAGACATAATGCGGTTGGCATAATAGGGTAGGGACACCGGACGACGAGATGTAACGCGGTGGTCCCTAGTGTTGGTGTCTATGGATTCATAATATAAGTAAGGAAATTCTAAAGATAAGATAGGAGTAGAGATCTCTTATAGACTGTTTGATAACAAAGTATAAAGGGTTAAAGCGAGAACGGTTTTTGTCTAAGTCAAGAACCCAAATAACGTGTCTAGTAAGGCATTTCTTAGAGCGAAGACCTTAGGAAGTAACGACGAGACTGACTCCTTCTCACTCACCATGTGCAGAGAGGGGAAGAGGACACATCCATCAAGAGGAGGTTACCCGAGGAGAGCAGCCGCGACAAACCTAAAGATGTCAACTGGATCTGGGTAACGAATGAGACCTCCCATTATATCTGTCTTTTGTTTCATGTCTTAATGAGTATACTGGGAAACTCAAGGATTGTGTTTTATGTTTTGTTTATCAGGATTGAGGTCATGCAAGTGTTTCTGGCATTTCACTTGAGAATCTTAAAAATTGTTGTTGTTGATTTTTGGTTTTGACTTGTAAACCTGTTTTGGGTTGCTCTAGAGTAACCGGTTTGTAGTTTGAGTTATGGGTTGGTTTTCAAAAAGGATCGGGTCGTTTCATGCAGTCTCCCATTCAGGCTCATGAGGATGCTGATGTTCGCGTTCTACTATATCTCAAGGGTTCTCCAGGTCGTGGCCTCTACTTTTCTGCCTCGACACCCCTTGTTTTAACTGGTTTTTGTGATGCGGACTGGGGTGGCTGTCCCACCACTCGTCGTTCCACGACGGGCTTCTTCATTACTCTTGGTGACTCACCCATTTCTTGGCGCACCAAGAAACAGACAGTGGTCGTCCGTTCTTCCGCTGAGGCTGAGTAGAGGGCGATGGCGAGTGCTGTTAATGAGCTTCTCTGGTTACGGTGGCTCCTCCTCTATTTGGGTGTTCCATCCTTGCGCGGTTATACAAAGCACTAAAAGGGAGGAACGTTTGGCTCTTGAGTGGTTATACAAAGCACTAAGTATGTGTATAATATATATTAGATATATGGTTAATTACTTAACTGATAAATTTTTTTTGATTGGTTAAAAGTATATGAAACCATACCAAACCACTTAAACCAACACAAGCTAAGTTTTTTGACCAAACCAATTATTCATATTAACCAAACCAAATTATCCAAATATTACCGGTTAATACTGTAATCATTTCGTTTGAACACCCCAAGTACTTGTATCTAGGGGTGGGCATCGCTCGATTCGGTCCAAGACCGGACCAAACTATCCTCGGACCGGACCAAAATTTCTTCTAAATCAAGGACCAAAGTCGAATCATTATTAATTCGATTCGGTCCGGATCAAACCATATATGGCTCGATTCGGTCTGGACCATCCCATTGAACCGACTAATCTTTCATTCGAATAAAATCATTCTGAAAAGACAACACAAGAATTAAAAAATGTAACTACATAAAAAGAAGTAATCAAATTATCCCAATTTAAATACTCCACAATTCTTAAAACTCACATGTACTAAAATATTATGCAAAAAACTAAACAAAAACTACTTAACTAAAAGACAAAAGTCTTTTTATTCAATCTCAAAGGTAGTCTAACTAATTGCCTCTTTAATCTTCCATTTTTATTTCCAGAGTGCACGTTGGACCTCCCAATCTCCAGAATATCCACTGTTCATTAGAAAGCCTTTCTTCTGCAATATAAGCACATGATATAAGGCATTAGAAAGAAGTTTAACAAAGTGACACTTGCTCCAAGAACTAGTGCAATAAAACAAATGACTCTTAACCTTGCTAATTTGCAGTGGTGTTGTCAGACTTGACAGAAGTCTTTGTAGTGTCATTTATTCGCATCTTCTCCATATCTGAAACACTAAACAAGAAAATAGAACACAATATAAATACCTGGTTCACAGTGTGTAGGTAAAGTAAGCAACTCTCTTGATCGAAGCAACGCGGATGAGAACTCTGATTCGAAGGCAGGACTATATGAGCAGGAGCGGCGAGTCAAAGTCAGGAAAAGTCAATCATATTTATAGGTAGTTAAGTGTCGTGTAGGGTACTAAGGTTTTCAACTCCAAATCGCCTTGCCTTCTCAGAGCCTAATAAAATAGGCAATTAATTTAATTACGATTTGGTCCGGTCCTTAGCTTGATTTTACAGTTTCGGTCTGGACCGAACCAAAACCAAAAAATATTCCAAATTCAGTAACCAAAGTCGAATCGAAAGATAAATAGTTCGATCCGATTTGGTATGAAAGTCGATTCGGTCCAATATGAATCGAATCGTTGCCTACCCCTACTCGTATCTCTCACGTCTCAACAAAAACTAATAAAGCAAAAAAAATAAAAATAAAAACAAATAGGAAGAAAGGAGAAAAATACGGATGAGGGGAAGAAGAAGAAGGCCAGGGAAAGAAGGAACTTGAGAGCCTTCAAATTAATCGGATCAATCCGAGAGCATCACGGCCATTCCTCTTTCTTGGTCCCCAATTCACCCTAAACCCTAATTTTCTTTTCGGAGGATATTATCGCTCAATTCGCTTCGCTTCCGTACTTCAATTCTCCAGTTCAGCTGCTGCGGTTCAGTGTTCCCCGAGCTCAAGAGTCGTCGGACGGGGGAAAACCCATGGAGACGCACTACAGTCACATCCCGTTCGACAGACGCCCGATCGTAACTTCCAAGACTCCCGCCGTTAAATGGTTCAGGGAATGGTAATAGAGTCTTCACCTTTGAGAATTGTTTTCCTCTCTCTTTTGTTTAGAACGGCGAATTTCAATCAGGGTTTCCCTCGGTTTGGTGGTTTCGTTGAATTAATTTGTTGTTGCATGTGAAGAGATGGGGGGAAAGCTTGTTGAGTGTAGGATAAACCCATGGAAGGGAGCTTCATGCTGGGCTTCCCTCTGTTTACTAAGTGATTGGGCTTGCTGTCTACTGTTTTACAGAAATTTAATAGGACGGTATCCTTGGCAGATGAATGAAAGATGAGATGATTAGAGTTTAGAACTGTGGAACGTAGAATTGGAAGTTACGATCTAAATTGTGGGGGGAAGTTATCCTGCAATGGTTTCGATTAGGTGCATATGTTGGTATACTGAAAGATGAGATCATTAAAGCAGGAATAACTTTGAAGTCTTGTTTGAGAAACTGTCATATCTGCAAGGCACCTGTAAAGTTTCTGCGTGTTTGTTTGGTTAAGACATGTGCATATTGCTTCACTCCAGAATCCCAGATAATGATATGATATTTTCCTCTTTAGGGTGCCACAGGATGTTGTAGCTACAGGTGGAAAGTGTTCGGTTTTAAGATGGGTAACAGGTAAGTTATGCTACTTGTAGTTTCTTTTACCTGTTGACATATTGTGTAGTGTTGCTTCATTTGGTTGTGGTAGTATTGTCAAGCTTGTTTAGATAACAACATCAAACTTTGATGGCCCGGGATAACAGGAACTGCACAGCTGAACTGGAAACTCAGATTATGCATACCGATAGATTTCAGTCTGTAACTTCTTTTCTCACCCTTCCTTTCCGTGGATGCATCATGTATGTATGCAGAGAGCCAATCAAAGGCCTTAAAAGAGAAAGCGAAAGATCCACCAACGCCAGAGCCAGAGCCAGAACCTACGACTGAAGTTCTGTTCCTTTGCAGTTTTGATGGATGTGGGAAAACCTTCATAGATGCCGGTGCTTTGAGAAAGCATTCTCACATCCATGGGGAACGCCAGTATGTTTGTCACTGGGAGGGTTGTGGCAAGGTATGAAAACTGAAGCACTATTGTTAATTTGAAGTTACGTATGTTGAATGGTTAATGAATGACTGAAGAAGAGGCTTATATTGAGTTCTAAGGTACAACTTGTCGCTCCAAAAGAAGTTGTTTTTCCTTCAACATAAGGCCAAAGGATTTCTACTTTGATCTTTGTTTTCCCTAATTTCCTTTTGGTAGTGTTTGAACTACATCACTAAGACAGATTCTTGTTTATGCTGCAGAAGTTTATTGATAGTTCAAAGTTGAAAAGGCACAACTTGATTCATACTGGGGAGAGAAACTTTGTGTGTCCACATGAAGATTGTGGAAAGGTAATTTTCATTAGCACGGTATCATCAAATTGGGTGATTGTACTGATGTGGGACATGTCTACTCTTCCATACTATGCAATAGAATTGATTATTTATCTATGTTGGAACTGTAGGCCTTCTCCTTGGACTTCAACCTGAGGTCACATATGAAAACACATTCACAAGAAAACTATCATATATGCCCATACCCAGAATGCGGGAAGAGATATGCCCATGACTACAAGCTACGGAACCACATTCAATCCCAACACGAAAAGGTCGGTTACATGTCGTCTCAAAGTGAAAAGGTTGGTTCTTTCATCTACTTGAGTGATTGAATTATCCAACTTTCACTACTCAGCTGCTGAACTTTGGTGTGGCTTGGAACCTGTGATTGTTAGAATCTGTTATACATGCTTTGACAGAAGTTTATTGCAAGATATACACTGCTTTGGAGTTTTGACAGTGACCCAAAACTGTTGTCGTTTTAGGGTCGATTACTACTCTTTTTGTCGGAAGCGGACGGTAAAATTTGAGTATTAAACAAAACTTCAAAAGGTTAAAGAGGAGAAGACTAACTTGCAGAATGAAACATTTACATCATCTCCTATGAAATGCATGCTTTTGATTACATTTTAGGATACATTGTTTGAATTCCTTTGTTCCAAACTACCCCTTAGCCAATTCAGCCTAAGATTAGAGCTTTCTCCTAGTTGCTACCATTCTCTAATTTGTTTAGCAATTGGGTTTCTCAACTATCCTTCTTTCCCCTAACTTTTTGCAGAATGCAACACCACCTGTCGAGATAGTGAGGTACGCAACACCACCAGAGAGACCAACCGTCAAAGCTCCAAAGCCACCTTCATCAGCTCCTCCCTCCACAACACCCGCATCTACGGCCTCTGCATCAGTGGACCGCCCTTTCGGCTGCCCTTCCGAGGCATGCAGAAAGGCTTACATCCACGAGTACAAGTTGAAGCTCCATCTCAGAAACCATCCAGACCACAACGTCGAGGAGACCACCGACATTAACACCATCATGCCACGTCGCCATCACGCTGTGGATAACAATGAATCGGACGAGGGCAGCGATCAAGACGGTAGTGGTTATGGTGCCCTCAAGCGTGCGGTGAATGGCCGGAAGAAATCACAGAGTAGCAGGGCGAAGCCGAGCTTGAAGATGCCTCCGGCGAAGATGGCGCAACGCAGCAAAGGGTCAAGCCCATTGGCACATAGCTTGAACGTGGCGAAGAAGCCATGGCCCACGGTGACGGTGGGATCCAAGGGAGGAGAGGTTTATGGTGGGGAGGAAGATAGTGAAGAGACGGAGGAGGAGGATAGGGAGAGTGGAGATGATGGGTGGAGATATAGGGATGATAATGATGAGGAGGATGAAGAGACTGAATATGAAGATTGAACAAAATGACTTACACTAGTGAGAGGGTTCCTTAGGCCATTTTTTGTTGTGGATTTGAGCATGGTTTCTCATGTCTTTTCTTTTTTTCTTCTTATGGTAGGAATATTTCTTGTTTTCGTCGATTCTTCTCTCAATGTTGGGATATATAAATGGAGAAAATAGGAGATTGGAATTCTCTTTTTACCAAATGACTTCATTGGAGGGTGGCATGTTGGTTAAAAGCTAGGGCCGACCAGGCTTCGTTTGTAGATATTAGGGGGTCTTGGAGATTAGAGAATGGGATTTGGAGAATGAGATTTAGGGCGTGAATTCGTAGATTTTATAGAAAGTTATGTTTTTTCGTTGCTTTTTGTATTGTGGAATTTAGTTTTAGAGATTTCAAATCTTTAAAATCTACGGATATCAAATCTCTCATAATCAGAGAAATTCTGTATCTTGATTCGTTATATTTTTTTCTCTTATTTTTTCTCTTTCTTTTATTTATTTATTATATTAAATATATTTATCAACAAAAATTTTAATATTTTTCGAACCACTTTAATTTTTTTTATTAAGGACAAACATGTTATTTAATATACAATTTTTTTTTTCATTGAATGTTAACAATCACAGTTACCAAACAATAAACATTTTAAAATCTTTTTTCAACAATCCTAAGAGTTAGAATATTTAGATTGTTAACAATCTATAAATTTAAACTCATATTCTCCAAACTGTCCCTTAATTTATCCATATATTATCGAATGAATTTGTAGATGTGGTGTATAACTGATTGTGAGTATAATTATAGAATGTTGGTATTTGTGATAGGTCAATATTCACATGTATATATACGAGGAATGTAGATTTATTGTTAAACTTTTATTTGTGTTTTGAAAGTCTTATTTTTTCCTTACACATATAATCCTTACTGGATTAGTTGTGAGTTGTAGGGTTGAAAATTGGCTTGACCAGTCCTGATCTTATCTGACCCACCCCTAAAGGGTCAAGATGTATAACTGACCCGCTCCATCCCTGTTTCTTTCATGACCCTGTCGGACCCTTTAGAGTCGGGGCGGGGCGGGGTCAGGAAGGGTCTGATCCGTGGATCGACCCTAATAAATACACTACTTTTTTAAAAATGACAATTTGGTACCCAAATGTATTTTTTCTTACATTTTAGTACCTATTTTTTTACAAATAAGTCCCAAAAAATTTGTGGTAGAATTACATTTTGGTACCCAAATTCTTTTTTACAAGTTAGTACCTAAACAATTAAAACTTTACAAATAGGTCCAATGTGTTTGTATGATGTTAAGGGTCAAAAAGTGACTCGACCCTAAATTTACCTGATCCTGACTCGACCCTAAGTTGATCCTGTAGACAAACTGACCCAGCCTAGCCCTAAGGGTCGGGGAGGGAGTGGGTTTTAAGGGTCAAACTTACACCCCTAGTGAGTTGTGACAACTGTTGAAAATAAATTTTCAGAGAACCCAAACTGAAGAGCTCATAGATAATGTTATTTCAAATTATTTTTAAATAACATTGTTATATTATTTTATCATACATAAAAAAAAATTGAGCCAGCTCTCAATTCTGGACTAGAACATTCACGATTCATTGGATGGCCTTGCTAAAAGTCATAGTCTTTCTCTTGGTTCCTTTTTTCTATTGCATACAACTCTCAATTTTATGGCTAGTTTACTTGTCATTCCATTTCCTATAATTGCCACAATAGAAATCAAACTAAAATGAAAACGAAGTTTCCGTTTTTTGAGAAACAAAACCTGAAGAAAACTTGTTTAGTTGAGAATTTTGGTGAGTTGTGAAACTGTATTCCGGAAATGAGGACTTGTTTGGTTACTTCATACTGTTTTCTGTTTTTTTGTTTTCTTATACTTGATTGTCACAATTTTTTCATTGAGTATCATACTACTCTAATTATATAATTTCTAATACGAATCACATTATTTTTCAACTACTAATAATACAAGTAAAAACATATTATATTTGTTGTTTTCCGTCAGCTATCCCATTGATTATAATCTGATTTTGCCAAATAAAATAGAATGGTAAGTGAACGTGTTTTTCTGTATGTGTTTTCTAATTTCTCTTGGTACAACAAAAAACAGGAAACTAAATGGCAAGTGAACGGGACATTAGGTTGAAAGATGAAAGTGGGATCATAAAGTATTATGCGATATAGGCTTAGAGACTCCAATGCTTACATAAATCATAACTAATGTTTGACATGAAAATTCTTTGTTGTTGATTTGAATGGAAGATGAATGCAAATAATATGTTGAAATGGCAATTCATAACTCAACATATGTGTAAGTTGTATGCTTCAAAGGTTAAGCATAAATAGTTCATTCAAGTGTAATTTGGACCTCTTAAATTGATCTTACTCTTTAAAAATTAAGAATTATCTTTTAAATAAGTTCGAGATAAACTACTAATGCAAGAATTTTTTATCAGTTCGATACACAAAAATATTCAATCAAGAATAATATTTTCTATTTCATACTAACATTTATCTTCGATCACCGAATTTACACCAATTGTGTTCCAAAACCCATTTCATTTACGTCGAGCGAATAGACAAAATTGAAGCGTGGGAGCATCACTCCAACTTTTTATTCATTCACACATTGGGACAAGAAGAAGAAAGGAAATAAAACCTGTGTCGCCATTAACCCAAAAAAAAAAAAAAAAAGTTACACTTACACAAACAAAGCCTAAAAGGGCAATCCGCAATGGACACGGATTAATTCCTCCTCCAAACGAATCAAACCGAACCCATCAGAGCAAACCATCCTCCAGCGCCAACCAGCAACCCGGCCAGACCCATCCCCAACCCGCTGCCGCCGCTGCTGAGGGCGTCGTGGACGTTTTTCCCGGCGGTCTCCGTCGTGTTGGCCACGTCCTCGGCGTTCTGCTTGGCCTCGTTCGTCGCGCTCTGGGTTTGGTTCACGGCGTTCGCCGCCGTGTTCGCTGCGTTCTCCGCCGCGTCGTGTGCATCCTGCGCGGTGCTCGTGGCGGTGTTCGCCGCGTTCTCCGTCGCGTTCTTGGCATCACCGGCGGCGTCCGCCGCCTCGTTGACCAGTCCTTCCCCCGTGTCGAGCAGGGTGGGGTCCGCCCGCACGGCGGCCGAGAATGACAATAGAACGAGACAGAGGAATACAAGAGATTTGGCCATGATGATGATTATTATATTTTGCTGGGTAATAATTTAATATTTTAATGGGTTTTGCTCGTGCATCGGTTTGTTTGTAGTTTATTGTGTTTAGAAGGAGAGAGGGAAGAAAAAAGCTTCCCTTCGATCAAGTAAAAAAAGAAGAAGCTTTGCAAGATAAAAAAAAAATGGCTTTTGTGTGTGTTTTTATTGTAGAATGTTGCGGTTGGGATATACTTGTAGTTGTTCTTGGTTCTCTTTCTTTTGAGCTTTTGGGGGGCTATTTTGTGATTGTGAGAATTGATAGTTCAACCATTCAAGCTTAAAGGTCTTTATTAAACCTTTTTTTTTTGGGTTCTTTTATGGAATTTTCGTACGAAGAGTTTAAATTTTAATCGGTAGGATAGAAAATGTGTATTTGACGTATAAAATGATAAATGAGAGAGGATCAAGCTTAGCAAAAAATATTGAGTGTACCAAAAAGGATTAAAAATTACGTAAATATGTTTCATTTTTAGAGCTTATAGATCTCAGGTTTAAGAGAACGATTAATTGTATTGAATCAATTTATAAAATAAATATCGATCTGCGTTATAAACCTGCCTACTTACTTATAATTATTGATTATCTTTCTATTTCTCACATCATAGGAAAATCGAGTGAGTTACTAGAGGCCACACATTACGTAGGGTTCAAAAACAGCAATATGAACAAGAAATTTGAATTACAGAGGAGGTTCACTTTAATCGAATTATAATCAACAGTATAATTTATAGCTGAAAAGTAAAACTGCAACCCCCATTCAAAATTTCCTGCCCATAGAGTGATTTTAGGAAGCTGATGTGGCAGAGTGTTAAGCGGGGAAAAAAGAGTCCCGCCTGATTTCAGAACCAAAATACTCTCCACTACCCACTTTTTTCTCCTTCCAGGCCCACGTTCTCATTTAATTTGTATAAAAAACTCTCCACTACCCACTTTTTTCTCCTTCCAAGCCCACGTTCTCATTTAATTTGTATTAATTTGTATTTTTTATTTCCGATTTCCCTTCCTTCCACTCTTTCACCTCATTCGAATAAGTTTCTTGGCCTTCAGAAAACCAAACCTTGACTCAATCATCTGGTTCTTTTATGTGTTTGCATCTACCTTTGATTTCCGTTCTCTAAGCGTTATATCGGTATTGGTTTTGCCGTAAGTTATTCTTCCTCTTTCAGATTTCTGTTTGTTGTTGTCGCTGCTTTTAAGTTTTAGGGATTCGGGTTCTGGGTTTTTTTTTTCCAGGGATTCGGTTGCAAAGATTCATCTCCCTTACCTTTGGTTCATTCCGTTTTCTTTATTCTCTCTTACCTTCCTCGCTTCATTCTGTTGATTGGATTCTCTAGAGATCAAAAGGGGATTTTTGATTTTTCCCTTTCTCTTGAAAGTAACAAAGCTGCTTACTTTCCACTCCGCGCAGGTATTGCTCCTCTCTCCCTTATCCTCCCCAGTATCCCTGCTTTGGATTCTGGTCCAACTGCTTGTACTACGTCGGGAGGTGTGTGTTTTAATAAGGCAGGGAGCTTGGCCGTCGACCCGTTCCTTTTGACCATAGATGCTTTGGGCTGGCAGTCATTGGGGTTAATACACTCCAATTCTAACTTGCCTATTCCTCCTGTGCAGAATCCAATCATGGCACATGTCACTGCTGACCAGGTGGTCCAATTCTCAATGGAGGAGGTCCAATCCTCGAAATATCGTGCTTCTCATTCATTGCTGGGTAGAGTTTTCACGTCGAGGAGGATCTCTACCACCGAACTGAGGGATTCGGTGATCTCTCCCTGGCTCATTAAAGGGCGTATCAGGGTGGTGCTGGCCAAACAAGGTTTGGTGGAGTTCATGCTACCAAACGAAGAGGCCAAAATTTGGGTGTTAAAGCGCACGCCTTGGGTCATCAATGACCAGATTATCCATCTCCGGCCATGGACCCCTACTGTAACGAAGCAGACGTTTGACGAACTGGCAATTGCCCCATTCAGGATTCAACTATGGGATGTTAAAGAGGATTGTTGTACGCAGCAGTTTGGAAGGAAAATGGTGGGTGCTACGATTGGACGAGTGCTGGAATCAGGTGTTTTTGCCTGTCAAGATACTGGTGCCTGGTTTGTAAAAGTCAAGGCACTTGTGGATTTTACCAAACCCCTTCGTTCTCAGATCTATGCAGTGAATGATGATACGGGGAACTTCTGGGTAAACTTAAAGTACGAGTACCTCCCTAGCTTCTGCTACCAGTGTGGTAGGGTGGGCCACTCTCTCCGTGCTTGTCCATTTGACCCTCCTGTTCGGAAGGAAAGGTACGGACCTCACATGGCCACCAGAAAATTGGGGATCCGCATCTATGACACGGAGGAGAGTAACCCAACTTATCCGAGAGGCGCAAAGTCGGTTTGGGTTAATAACTCCTACCGTGACCCTAAAGAAAGAAAGGTTGAGAGCAGCTTTGCTCATGGTGGGGAAATGCAGGCTTCTCCACCCCAAGTTCTACCTCGCCAACTTCAGGCCACCCCGCGGTGTGTAGACTCCCCTGGTCAGATGGGGTTTAATCGAAACCCGAGCCCTAGAGGCTTCCGTGTGTCGCGCTCGCCCTCGCTGAAGATTGGCAGGTCGACGCGTCCGGTGCGGGCTCCGATTGCTGCAGAGGCGAAGGAGATGACCCCGAGTCGGCAAAATGGGGGGCGGCGGATCAATGAAGCTCGGAATCGTGAAGGGAATGAACTGCTTCTGGATAATTCCCCTGAGGCAATTATTGGGAAGGAGGAATCTCAAAAAGCGGCGGCTATGAATGAGGCTCAGGATGCTCCGAATATCACTTACCGCCGACGACTTCTCTTGGAAGATATGGAAGACGACTTTGAGCCTCCACAGCTGGTGGAGAAGCACCCTGCGTTGGTGGATGATGGTGAAAGCAAAAAGGCGGGCCGCAAATTGGTGAAAAAGGGCTGGGGAAACAGCCCGAAAAGCTGGCCCAAGGGAAGCCCATCCCCCGCCCGGCCCGGAAAAAATCTGGGTCCTCTCTGCCCCGCCCAGTAGAGGAGAGGACAGCGGCCCCTTTGGTGAAACCGCCTCGGTCAGGTAAGAAAAAAGGCAGACCAGAGGAGATTCCTATTTCCGCGGCTCCAGTGATTGAGAATCATGAGGGGAAGGGGTCGTTGGAGATAAAAAAAATGCGATGAATGAGGCTCAAATCGTAGAGGACCATGCTCGCTCGGTGGAGACGCTTTCAGATGAGGATGAATCACGGTTTGTGATCAAGAGTCGACGTCTGACAGGGGATCAAGAGCAAGTGATTCAACCTGGTCAAGTGAAACAGGTGGTTGATGCTTTCGAGGAAGGGCTAGTGATCAAAGAAAAAACGGAGAGCTTGGAGGCTATGGCCGAAGAGAAGGTCCTTAAGCTCAATGAGTATGGTACTAATCTGGAGGGCGGAAATCGGAAGAGGCTGCTACAGGAGCTGGATGGGGTGTCTGCGGATAGTCCCACTCCTAAGAGGCAGTTTGTGGAGGACCAGGTTGAATCTGTGAATGCTGATTTGGTGGAGGAAGCCAGCCATGAGTGGCCCCAAGCAGATAAATGAGGCTTCTGGCCTGGAATGTGAGAGGAATTGGACCATCCCTCACATTCCAATCAGCTTTGAGTTTAGTTCGTTCTAATAAGCCGGATCTTGTATTCTTTTCGGAAACAAGATCGTCCAGACGCGTAGTTTCCCGTCGGTTGAGGGGATTAGGTTTCGAGTCGTCTCAATGTTTTTTTGTTGATGCTTGTAATGGTTCTGGTGGTCTTGTTGTGGCCTGGTCCCCCGAAGTCGATGCTTTGGTGTTTTATCATTCGAATTTTTGTATTGGTTTACGTATTAATGAAGTTGATTTTTCGTACGTGATGCTCTGTGTTTACCTAAGCTGTAATATCACTGTGCGGTTGACCCAATTGTTTCAACTCCGTGAGATTTGTGAAAGCCTCCAGGTCCCCTTTGTGATCATTGGGGACCTTAATGTGACCCTTCACGAAAGAGAAAAAGATGGAGGGAATTCTTGGAATGCTTCACAGGCTCTAGACCTCCGTAATCTGGTTCAAGAGCTTGGGTTGCATGATCCAGGATACCAGGGTGACCCCTTTACTTGGACAAATAAAAGGATGGGGGTGGCGTGTATTAGGGAAAGATTGGACAGGGCTTTATGTTCCCAAAACTGGATGGACCGTTTCCCTGAGACTCTAGTGAAGCATTTCACTGACCAAGGTTCTGATCACCGGGCGTTACTCCTGGCTGACCAACCCTATGTTCGGATGTGTCGCCCCTTATTCCGATTTGATGCCAGGTGGGCAGAGAACCCAGAGGTCAAAGCTATGGTTGCATACGTTTGGCAGGAATCTATTGATGGTACCCCAATGTTCCAGTTATGGGAAAATTTGAAAAAGCTCCGACATTTGCTCTATGATTGGAGCAGAGCGGGTACCACAAATTCCCTACGTAATATCCATACTTTGCAAAATGAAATTACAAGGATAAAGGCAGTTCACCCGATTAACTGGCAGGAAGTGACTTCTCTAGAATCGGAACTAAACAGGCAATGGGAGGCTGAGGAGCAGTATTGGCAACAGAAATTGCGTGTCCGATGGTTGAAAAGAGGGGATCAGAACACATCCTACTTCCATACGGTCACGCGTACTCGGAGAAAGAAAATTTTTGTCTCCGGTCTGTTTAATGAAAGGGGAGAATGGGTTACGGAAGAGAAAGGGAAGGTGGAGGTTGCGGTTGAGTTCTATCAAACTCTCTTTACCTCGGAGTCCCTAGTTCATAATATGGCTGAACGGGTGGCTGATCTCCCCATTGCATCCAATGTGACTCCTGTGATGAATGCTGCCCTAACTGCGGACGTTACTCCGGCAGAAATTCGTAAAACGGTGTTTGCAATGGGGTCTAAACAAGCGCCAGGCTCGGATGGTTTCACGGGGAAATTCTTTAAAGCCTACTGGGGGATTGTTGGTGAGTCAGTTATGGCTGCGGTTGGCTCCTTCTTTGCGACTAGCAGGATGCTTCGGAGTTTTAATCACACCTGGTTGACGCTAATTCCCAAGGTGGATCAGGTGGAAACCATGCGCCAACTTCGGCCCATCAGCTTATGCCAATTCATTTATAAGGTGATCACGAAAGTCATGGCGGAACGGTTGGCAGAGATCTTGCCTCTTGTGGTCTCTGATGGGCAGAACGCCTTTATCAGGGAACGACAGATAGTGGATAATATCCTGATCGGCCATGAGTTAATGCACTATCTAAAGATTAAAACCCGAGGAAAGAAAGGTTACATGGCTCTTAAGGTTGATATGGAAAAGGCCTATGATAGAGTGGAGTGGTCCTTTCTTCTCGCGGTTTTGGAGAAAATGGGTTTTAACTCGATTTGGCGGGGTTGGATTCAGGAATGCTTGCAATCTACAACGTTTTCGGTCCTCATGAATGGTTCCCCGTCAGGTTTCTTTGCTCCCTCCAGGGGGCTCCGACAGGGGGATCCCCTTTTGCCCCTGCTCTTTGTATTGTGTACAGAGGGCTTTGCTGCCTTACTTCGTAAAGCCATTGCTGAAAATAGGCTGGAAGGTGTGAAGGTGGCACCGCGGGCTCCCCGTATTTCTCATTTGTTCTTTGTAGATGATTCTTACTTATTTCTCCGTGGTTCCCTCCAGGAGTGTGAGAATCTGATAGAAGTGCTTAATGAGTATGAGGAGCTTAGTGGTCAGAGGGTGAATATGGAAAAGTCAGTTGTTTGCTTTAGTAAGAATGTCTCCGTAGCAGACCAGGAGTTCTTGGCGGCGATCCTTGGGGTGGGGGCTGTGGGGGTACAGGATAAGTACCTGGGTCTACCCACTTTGATTGCTCGTTCCAAAACGGCCACTTTTCGCTACCTGGAGGATAAGCTCTTAGAACGCCTGCAGGGGTGGAAACGTAGGACTTTGTCATGGGCAGCTAAGGAAACTCTGATTAAATCAGTTGCCTTAGCTCTACCGCTCCATGTGATGTCCTGCTTTCGCCTGCCTTTGTCGCTTTGTCGTCTCCTGGACAAACATGTGGCTAGGTTTTGGTGGGGGGTTGAAGAGGATCGGGCGAAGATTCGGTGGGTATCCTGGAGAAATTTGTGTAGGAGTAAGCATGAGGGGGGGAATGGGTTTTCGTCGGTTTGAATAGTTTAATCAAGCTTTGTTGGCAAAAATTGGCTGGCGTATTCTGAATGAACCCCATTCTCTCCTAGCCCAGGTCTATAAAGGGAAATACTTTCCAAATGGTTCCTTTCTTTCTGCTACGGCCCGTTCCCGACCATCTTGGGGATGGCAGAGTATTCTCTTTGGTCGGGAGCTATTGTCCAAGGGTTTGCGGTGGCAGATTGGGAATGGTCAGAAGGCTCCTTTGCTTAATTCAAACTGGGTCCCGATTCATCCTCCGTCTTATCCCGTGCATAATCCTCGAGTTCTACCGGATGATGGGGAGTTGACGGTCTCGGCTGTCCTCTGCCCTGGGGAAGGGCGGTGGTGTGAGGATAAGCTGAGTCAGTGGTTTGACCCTCAGACTTGTCGGGCGATTAGGGCAATGCCCCTGCCACGGCATGAGATTGAGGATCGCTTGGTCTGGTATGCTACGGAGGATGGGATTTTCTCGGTGAAATCGGCCTATCATTTGGCGGTTTCTCTGGAAAGACAGAGTGGGCAGTGGAGGGCGGAGGTTAATTGGATGGATAAACGGAGTTGGGTCCGGGTTTGGGATGCTAATATTCCTCCGAAACTGAAGGTGTTTGTCTGGCAAATCTTGACCAGAATTTTACCTACGACTGAGGCTCTGATAGAAAAGGATGTGGAGGTCCTGGCCCGTTGTCCGGTTTGCTGGGATTCCAAGGAGACAATGGAGCATTTGTTCCTGGATTGTCCGGTGGCGAGGGCTTTGTGGTTGGAGGCGGGGTTTGAATCTCTTGGTGAGGGATTACCTTGTCATACGTTCCCCCTATTCCTTAAAGATTTGTTGGCTATTATACAACCTTCGCAATTCATGGTGCTAATTGCTCTTTTGTGGCGAATTTGGAGATCCCGGAACTGGGTGGTCTTTGAAGGAAAACAGTATACCACTCGGGCTTTATTGAGGCAGTATAACCAACAAGTAGGGGAATGGCTGGCCCTGCCGAGGGATCCTCAGCCTCCCCCATCTATTCTACCTGAGTGTCCCATTGACGTCGCAAGCGAGTTTGGGGGACCTATATGTCGTTGGGATGGGGCGGTTCGGCGAGGGTCTCATTCTGCAGGGGGTATGGTACTTCTCAATGATACAGGAGCGTTGCTGTGGGCTTCAGGATTTCAGTTTCCGGTTCTGGATGATCCTATGGTGGTGGAGCTCCTCACGCTTCGTGAGGCTGTCTGTTGGTGTGTTGCGCAACAGTTTTCAGTCATGCGATTCGAAGGGGATGCTAAGGTGGTCATTGAGAAGATTTGTAGGGCTGATGTTAGTGACAGCAGAGTGGGGTCTATTCTGGCAGAAGTGATTCAGCTCTTCAGGGAGAATCTGGGGTTTTCTGTTCGATTTGTAGGTCGGGATGGCAATAGGGTAGCTCATTGTGTAGCTAGAAAGGCCCTTTCTTTGTTCCCGTCTATTTGTCGTTATTTTGATTTCCAGGCCTGGCTGGCTTCCAGGATGTAACTCTATCGATTTGTTTCTATCAATATATGATTATCTTTTGTCAAAAAAAAAAAACAAAGCTGCTTACTTTAAATTCCACTTCGCTTAGACTGTCTTCCAGAGAGCAGCCGACTGCCGATTTTGAGCTGAGTTTTTCCGGGCCGCAGAGAAAGAAGAGGAAAGAAAGAGATGTTCGGCGGCGGCAGCCAGGTACTTCGTCCGGGTCGTTTTCCGGGTCAGTAAACCGAAGGGCCGGCTATAAACTACCGCTGGCCTGGCGGGGGAAAAGGAAAGCGTAAACCATAAGGCCTGGGGGATCCATTTCTCTCGCCAGCCCATACTTCAGAGGCCCAGCCTACTTGAGTCCAGAACCAGCCCATCGCCGACGAAATTTGGCGCGCCGTCCCCCACCCGCCACCACGTATGAGACATAATCAATTTACTTTCTGATGTTAACTCTGTTGCAGGTAAATGTCGAAATCCAACTTGATCAGTAAGGTTTTCTCTCATATGTTTCTAGGTTAATTAATCTAATGGGACTGGCTATGATCTGATAATGTACTTTCAGCTCTAATCACTAAAGAAGTATAAAGTAGGCGGTATTGATAAGCATGCTCCACTGGTTAGTGTATTGGTTCTACGAGGCTTTTTTCCCGTTATTACATAAGATCATTGGACAGTTTTATCTCACTCCATTAGTTTGTTTTATTGTTCTTCAACTTCAACTTCATTTGCATTGTATTTGTATTGTGACATTAGAGTTGGAATCCATTTGTGCTAAAAGTACAAAGCGTAAACTGCATAATTGAAAGAAGGGATAAACTTGGTATAGTTAGAAGAACTAGAATTGGTAAGCACTTATAGTGCTTTTCTTATTGCCAGCTTGCTTCTTTTTCAAACTTCTCTTTGGATATGGTTTTTATGGATGCCTTTGAATTATATTTGTGTTGGCCATTACATTGTTGTCCTTCTCGCTCTTCCTTTGCATCCCCAAGCTTGGAAGCCATTCTGTTATATGTGTTTTGTTCATCAATTTAAATTATGCCTTATATAGTTATATTTTTCTTCGACTGTTATGTTTGTGTGGTGTGTTGTATGTGTCATTAACTCGCACAAACTTATAATTGGTGAGGAGTTCAACTTCTGTTGTAACAATTAATTAATTTATATGAATGACAGCTGCAAAATTTACTGGAACGGGTGCATCATTTACCACGACCTCTATTTCAGATTGCATCAGGTTATTGGAGAATTTAATATGGATAGTGCAAATGTCATCCCATCTGCCCAACCACAGATTTATCGATCGTCTGTACCATGTGAGTGTCATGGTTTAGCACGCAACTGCTTCAATGCAAACTGACATTAATATTTTCCCTTGAATCTCATTTGTTTAGGGAAACGTCGAGCAGTGTTTATTCATCCTGAAGATCAGTACCAACGCTGTGTTTTATCTGCTGAAGAGGAAGAAGCATTTGAGAGAGGTGTGTTATCTGTGTTTTAATTTTTCTAATTAGTTCATCTATTCAATGAGTAATACATGGTTTTATATTTAAAATCTGCAGAAGAAGCTGCCTTACAATTCAAACTCTCTCAACTTCGGCGAATACTATCCCAAGTCGCCCGTAAGAGAAGACATCATATTTTGAAACAGAAGGTTCATAGGAGGGGCTTGCCTTTTGAACACCAAGGTTGTTGTTTGCTAAATTTTGTAGCAAGTCTTACAAATTTGGCTATTCTAGATTGTTGAATCTTTATTTATTTCTTTAATATCGTATGTGTTTTGGTGTTGTTCATAGTTTTGGAGCCGGAGTTTAGATTTCTATTACAAAAGCAAAGTCGATTACTTCGACGTATTCATCTGCATAGAAAGAGACGTGGCCGAAGTTTCTTTCCTACAGAAGTCAATCAAAGTATGTGGATTCTAATGGCCACTATTATACATGAAATGGTTCATCTCTATTTTGGTTTAGTTTTTGTACATTGGATATATGTTTTTGTGTTCTGGTCAACATATTTTGTTTCCTATTTTGGTTTTAGAACATATAATGTACCCATTTATGCCATGCATATAATTTAGTGATGTACGCTTCATGTCACCTTATGCAAATAGTGGATTGTTTTTAGATGTTGATGTGTCAACGGCAAATTTGTGTGTTATGAACAAACTTTGGTGTTTCCTGAAATTTGACTTATTCTTACTTAAAATGAGCGGTATACCAACATAGTAGACCGTTGAATGGAGAACAACAAATCGCTTACGATATGGTATTACATTCTGTTTATACCAATGAGGGTAAATGCTTTTTTGTGGATGGATTTGGGGGTACTGGTAAGACATTTCTGTGGCGAGCAATTTGTGAGCAATTAAGATTTGAGAAGAGGATAGTATTATGTGTTGCTTCATCTGGTATTGCTGCACTGCTCATGGTCGGTGGAAGAACTGCACGCTCAAGATTTCACATTCCCCTGGATTGTGATACAAAATCAACTTGCAATATTGAGCAAGGTTCTGAGGTAGCTGAATTGATTCTCAATGCTTCACTTATTATCTGGGATGAGGCACCGATGGCTCATAAACACAACATAGAGGCCCTAGATAGGACATTGGGAGATATTTTCCGAGTTAAGCATGTTGATTCTGAGTTGAAGCCTTTTGGAGGTATGACTATTGTGTTTGGAGGTGATTTCCGACAGACGTTACCTATCATCACGAAGGGTACACGGACTAAAATTGTTAATTCTTCCATAAAGAGATCTTATTTGTGGCGGTCTATGACAGTATTGAAGCTAACCGAGAACATGCGATTAAAATTGCCTCATTCTGAAGCATCGGTCAGGTTAGCAATCTCAAATTTTAGCAAATGGCTTTTGGAAATTGGTGATGGTACAAATAGTAATATTTTTGGAGAATCAATTATCCCGATACCTCTACACATTTGTGTTCCCCGTCGCAGTGATCCAATTCCTGATATTGTTGCTGAAATATATGGTCAGTTACTCTCCACTGAAAATATGTCAACCTATTTGGTTGAGCGAGCTATCTTAGCCCCTCATAATGACACTGTTGCGGCCATTAACAATTATGTATTGGGTCTATTTCCTCGTGAAGAAGTTTCTTATTTTAGTTCGGATTCGCTAGAGATTGATGCCAAGAATCAGCATGTTGAAGAAGGGGACTACACAGTTGAATTCTTGAACTCTTTAAAGATTGGGAATTTTCCGGAACATGAGTTGAAATTGAAGTTGGGGTGCCCTGTTATTCTGCTTCGAAATCTGGATCAGAGTACTGGGCTTTGCAATGGAACTCGGATGATCGTTAAGAGATTAGGTAAGTGGTTTATTGAGGTCCAAATTTTGACCGGGACACATGTTGGTGATACAGTTTTCTTACCACGCCTAAGTCTATCGGTCCACTACAAGAGCTTAAACTTCACTCTGGTTCGAAGGCAATATCCAATTGCACTGTCATATGCAATGACAATTAACAAGAGTCAAGGTCAAACATTAAATCACGTTGGCATCTGCTTGCAAAGACAAGTATTTTCTCATGGACAGTTGTATGTTGCTATGTCTCGAGTTACGTCGGAAAGGGGACTCAAGATTCTTAGCTGTGACTCTCAAGGTAAACAGGTGAAGACTATGCAGAACATTGTGTTCACTGAGATTTTTGAGTAGTGGTTTATTGATGTATTATGTTTTATTCGATTTGAGGACTAAGACTGTCAAATTTATCGGGTCGTTACAATTTGAATCTTGAGTTCTCAATTTGTCCAAATTATTTTCCTGTTTTTAACAGCCAATTATATGAAATGTGATTTATGCACACTACTTTATATTTAATTGTACCTCAATTTACTCTACCGAAGGGTATGCGAGTGTGACCGTTATATTGCAATACGAAGAAGAACTTCCATAGTCGCAACTGAACTAAACTAAATTAACACCACAACCCAGCCCACAAAACAACCCAAGCATGGTTCAGTTAAATAAAATATAGTTAGAGAGGGAATGCCCAGCCGGATTTGTTGAAACTAAATGGCCAACCTATTCCCATAAAAAAAAAGGCCAACCTACACTACCTTGGGCGGATCCTTCTCCACTCCCCCACTCCCCCACCTCCTCTACTGCCCAGTATCCGATTTTTTTGGATCTTCTATGAGGTGAAGGTTGCCGCATTCCAAGCCATTATTTCTTTATTAAATACATTCATTATGATTTTCATTTCATGTTAATTAGTGGTGGTGTGGGCCGGGCCGGCCGGGTTGGCGCATCAAATAATAATTAGCAACTTTGAGAGGCAATTTTGGACAAGAATTGTTGACACAGTCGCAATTAGCAATGTTGTTGAAACGGAACCGGACATCGATTCGGATTAGTAAAGGGTTCAAGGTTTATCAAATAACCGGTGGTTAATCGATATTAAAAACCGATCATAAACCGGTGTTGACTTACTTGGTAGACTTAACAATTATTTTTTTTTACAATTATTGTTTCACTTATTAGAGATAAAAGAATAAAGTGAGAATTATTAAAACTGAAAAAGCATAATTTGGGCGGCTGCTAGGTCTTTTTTGGGAAAAGTGAACTGATTTTTCTTCTCTTTATATTTTATTCTGTACTTACCTTGTTTTGTTTTTGAATTTTTAATTGCAACAAAATAAAAGGAAGGCGCATGTTTGATTTTAAGAAGGTGGGTCGTTCCCCTAAAAAAAAAAAGGTGGGTCGTGAGTTCCGTGACACACCCGCCTCTTGAACTCTAAATGGCCAACCTTCTCCACTCCCCCACGAGGCCACAAATCCTTCTCCACTCCCCTTCTATCCCACTTTCCACACACACACGTACTCCACTGCATGCGGCCAAGTAAATCACGTGTGTAGAATCACTTTCTCTCCTTTATATAATGGAGATACCACTTTCTCTCATGTTACAATTTCCGTTTACTACTTCCCATACAAAACACTTCGGTTCCATTGATCGTGCGAATTGCATTCAATATGGCGGGCCTGCCTCAATTCAATCAGTAAGTACTGCTCATGCATCCAACAAATACTACATCATGTAATTTCGATTCTTTTTCACTACTTAATGCCAAAACTTACAGTCCAATATATAGGCTTCCCCATGGTTTTATTGCTAATCTGCAATATGATGATGCTCTTGAAATTTGTGAGCGTGCCGACACCATCGATCTCATTATGTTGCAAGTGGATGTCGAAAATCAGGTAACTAAACAAATAAATTTCTTTTTAATCGTACACCTTTTGTGGCATGCTGCATTTTATCGATTTGCTTTGACAATATTCGTTTCTGTGTTTACATCAGGGCACATCTTTTTTGTTATCCGGACGTGTAACGAATTTGACGACGTCCTGGTCCCCTGCATCCAGAATCCATTTCGTCCACCTCACAATTGAGGACGAATTCATTGGTGTTGACATCGTCTTCCCGTCATCACAGTTACGAACGATTGTTGAATCTGTATTCAGTCATGCAGATGTTGTCAATGCTGACTATATGGCCCTTCTGAACATGCTTGGAGAACAGACATTTGAAGTCATGGTCACAGTCGGTCCCTGGAACGATGCATTTGGTTATTGTGAACTTGTGTTGGTGAAATTATTTTTGCCTTTGTTGAATTGAGTACCATGTCATGAACAATGAGACAATGTATTGAGTTTTCTTATTTTGGACTTGCATGTTATTTGTCGTAACACTCAACTAGATTAGATTTGTGATTAGTAAAATTTCATGTAAGTATTTTTATTGTGATTAGCTAATCTTCAAATGTATTTCTAACTTATTATGAATGTTCATTCATATTACATGTTCGTTTTCAACGAATTGCAAAATTGCAACAATCTTATGATAATATAAAACAAGACTAATTTCTCGACACTATCATTATAGATATTGTAACTCCATTTCTTTAAACAAATGCGGCCAACAGGCCGGGCTATAAGCTAGTCATCAATTATAGAAGAAAAGTGGCTTTATGGGCCTTTAAGGACTTAAATTGAGCAGCAACGTCTTTACATGTAATAATATAATATTTGTTTAAAATGAATGGCGTAGTTAGTTAGTTATTTATATTAAAAATAAAGGATAAAAATGTATTTTACTAAAAAAATAATATAAATTATTTAAATATTACCAATAACTATTACAAAAATTAGATAATGTAAATGCAAATGCATTAGTTAATGTTTAATCACAAATTGCAACTGGCAAGATTTGAAAAATATAAGAAAGATAATGATGGGCCAGGCTCAGGCCCAGAGAGGAGCAGATGAAAAGAACCAGAAAGTCGCTCAGCCAAGTTGGGTTCGGGCCCAAACAGACTGAAATTTAGTAATTTACCCTCACCGCCAGCCTCACTCAGGCCCTGTCGATCTCTTCTCACCTCCCGCCATCGATACGAAACGCAAAAATTGAGAAAAGGCGGGAAAGTTCAACGATCATAATAAAAATATTAATTTCTTAAATAATTCAAAAAAATTGTCAGCTAAAAACGCCCCTTCTTCCATGCCTTCTAGAAACACATAGCTTCACAAAATTCTCTCTCCCGGAATGGAATCAAACGATCCCTTCGCTTCCATGGCGCAGCTCTGCAGAGTCTCGGCTTCTCAGGAATCGCAACTCCTTCTCCCTGGCTCCGATCAGCACTCTGACAACGACGTAAATTCCGGCGAAATCACGGAGGAATCCGCCGCGATAACGACGGAGACCGACGATGACAGCTATGAGGTGAATCAGAATCCAATTGAAGGGGAAAACGCATACCTCTTCCACACGCCTCCTGAATTCTCCTCCAGCGTCTCCGATAACGAAGTCTTCCACACGCCGAGGCGAGCTTCTTCCAGCAGTCTGCCGAGCTCTCAGAATCAGGAGCCGCAACCGGAGGGATTCGTCGACGGAGGAGGAGGAGGACGCGAAGAAGGTCGCACGGAGAAGCATGCTGGAGATAGCGACGACAAAGAAGAAGAAGAAGAAGAAGAAGAAACGTTGGGGCTCGCCGTCGATTTGGGGGAGGACACAGATCTAGGGTTTTCCATAATGGCAGCATCGGAGTCTGCTGACAGAACTGGAAGCATTTCGCTCGTGGAAGTTCCAGAAGCTGTCGATCATGGTCATGAGATGAAGGTAATTCGCTCTGAGTCCATGGAGTCTAGGGTCTCAGAAAAGAAATCTGTTTCAAATCCTGAAAATAATGATAATGCTTCCGGGCTAACTATAGATACGAGGATCCGGAAGCTTAAGGAAACGCTAGATAGATTGAACTATATATCAGAGAAACAGAAGAGGTGGACGAATAATGCCGTGGTGGAAAATGCAGAAGTTTGTTTATGCCCTGAACTAAGTATTCTAGATAGTTCAGTGGAGAAATCAGGTTTGCCAGAGCACAAATTCGCAAGTGTAAGCATGAATGTGCCTCTAGCTTCTGTGGTGGAAACTGCAGAAGCTTGTTTATGCCCTGAACTAAGTATTCTAGATAGTTCAGTGGAGAAATCAGGTTTGCAAAAGCACGAATTCACAAGTTTAAGCATGAATGTGATTCAAGATGCTCCAAGAGCTAGTCCAGAAGCTAGTTTATGTCGTGAACCAAGTATTCTAGATAGATCAATGGAGAAACCAGATTCTCCAAAGTGTGAATTGTTAAGTCTATTTATGAATGTGATTCGAGATGCTCCAAGAGATAGTCCAGAAGCTAGAGGGACTCCAGAGATGAACCAATTCTCCATGATTGAAGACCTTCCAGCTGGGATGAAGGTTGATGATAATGGGCAGTCTCATGGTGTGAAGAGGAAGCTAGAGTTATTCTCACCAGAGGAAATGGAATCAGTTCTTGTAGAAAGTAACAGTGGCAAAGAGAATGAGGCAACAAAGGGTGCACATGTGAAAAAGGTTGTTCTGCCACAGGGAGCTTCTGCAGAAATCGAGAAGAACGTGAAACGTGGGAAGAATGCGAAATCAGGTTCAACAAAGCATAAATTCGCAAGTCCAAGTATGAATGTGATTCAAGATGCTCTAATAGATTGTTCGGTAGCTAGAGGGACTCTCGAGATCAACAACCACTCGATGGCTGAATACATTCCAGCTGAGATGAAGGTTGATGATAATGGAAAGTTACATGGTGGGAAGGGGAAGCTAGAGGCCTTGACAGAGGAAATGGAATCAGCTTCTGGAGAAATTAACAGTGAGAAAGAGCAGGTGGGAACAAATGGCACACATGATTTGGTAGAAAAGCTAGTGCTGCCACGGGGAACTTCTGGAGAAGACGAGAAGAGCGCGAAATCGTGGAAGAGAGTGAGTGCTTTGGTGAGTCTTGAAGTTCTGGAATTCCTGAAAATGTTTGCAGAAGACACTGACGATGGCGATTCAGTATTGGAGAGCATGAGCCTATTCGATATTGCAAAGATGCGTGGCATGACATTTCCATAGTACCAGTGTGACAATACCGAAGGACTTTTGCTGCGACCTACTGTTCTGAGGATTGGGATTCCAACAACTTCCATACTGCAGGTAAATATTTTGTTGCTCTGGATAGGTAAGTCCTTTTACTGCAGGGTATTGCTCTCATGGGTTGGTTGTGCATCTATTTTAAGAACTCTAATCTCACCATATATTATGTGGAGAAGGTAGAAAAACAGCATCGTCTTCCACTGTAGGGCATCCTAAACTTTGAATTTATATGCATGTTCTGTAGGGGAGTTATGTAAATCCCTTAAATGCATATAATTGCAAAGAAATTTAGTTAATGTATCAATAGACTCGTATAAATATGATATTGATATCAAATCGATTCAGCGATCGAGATCGTTGAATGTCCTTTACCATACTCGTTAATGTTTTATATGTGTGGATCCAATTTGCAGAATGTTCCCCATCAGTCTTGGTCATAGTTGAAAGTAAATCCCTTTACAAATTTCCTAATTGGTTTTGTCTGTTTAGGAAATGGTCGAATTTTTCTTCATGTTCTTATCTATTTTTTTTTATTATTTCCAGTTTATTTTAATCATTTTGGACCTATAGGTTGTTGATATGTTACTTGCTTGCCGGCATATTCAAAGCTAGACTGTCGCCTTCCTTCCATGACCGCCGAGCCTAGTGCTTTGGCCCACTATGATTACTGCAAGTTTTTTAACAGCAAGTTCTATGTAGCAGGTGGAATGGAAAATGGGGGTGTGTGAGTAAACTAAACACAAAAGGTTTATCTAGTAGCTTCTCCTTTGTTGCCTTCTTTTTATTTTATTTTATTTACCACTATAATTATGCTAAAAGCAAGGGAAAAAACAAACTGATACTTGAGATTTTAATCCGTTACGATATTGTTTTGAGTATTGTTAAACTGCAAGTTGTTCACAAATTTAGAAAAGAATTCTCTATAAAATAATGAAATGTTAAAAAGTATGAATGCGTTGCATGACAAGATTGTTTGGTGATATGTATGTGGATAGTTAAATTGCTCGTAAGGTCCACATCAAGAAAGCAAAATTTGATAGTTAGAAATGTCACCAGACATACGTAACGCTTTAGCTGGTACACGAAAGTGCATACCGTGATTTTTTTGTCTATCAATAACTGCATGTATTGCGCGGTGGATGTGAAGAAGGATGTTTGTCGTTGATACCAACGATAAATTTTGCTTGCTAAGAGTGATTGTACGAGTTGATAAACAAGTCACCACAAATGAGTTTTATTCCCTATGAGCCATAACCGATTCTTGTGTTTAAGAGATGAAGCAACCAAGCAAATACTATCTTTTCTATAGCAAGTAGGGGACGAGAATGTTTTGTTTGTTTGTATACTTTCTAGGCCAGGGCTTTGTGCATAGAGCATATTCTTTGCTTAGTTATGTCCAATGAGGGCTATCTCTTGATAAGTCTTCTTTTTATCTTTGGACCTAAAGTCTTCTTTTACCTTAATAGATTAAAGAAATGAGTGTATAGCTTTCTCCTTGAATGACCTCTCTATTTCACTTTGGGATAAAACCGAATGCTCAGAAGGTTAAGAAGAATCAATTCCGAGTGAAACTATTTTTGGTGCATCTCTTGTTATGTATGGAATTAGTGTATTAGAGGATCTAAAAAGTAGTTAATAATGGTCACAAATATTGAATTTTTTATCGGCAGACTTGTAATTTCATGATGATACCATTGCAGTAAGATGATCTATTAACAATATTTTTAGTCATGTCGGGGGTTTCATGATAGCTTCTTTTCCTCACTTCATTAGATATGAATGGATGAACTGAATATTGAACTGTTTAACATTCAATTTGTTTGTCGAACTCTATTGCATTCAAATTGTCATTAAAGAACCCAATGAAAGAAGTATAATTTGTTTCGTCATGAAACTTATACATATGAAACAACTAACTAGAGTTTTTTTTTTTTTGTAAACATTAAATTATATTTTTCAACACATGATACTAAAGTTAATGGAAATTTATAGCAAGTTCTATAGAAAATAATATATATTTACGGTTGATACCAATTGAAAATCAAAATTATTAATAGTGACAATCTTAAACTTTTAGACACCTAAGTATGATGGTCACTAATACCTTCAATAACTGCACCTGCACCACCTTTTCTCATTACTTTCACATCATAGTAATACCTTAATTTGATTTAGGTCCGTTGATTTCACTCAAAAGGAATGCTAGATGAGTAGTAGTGTAGGTTACGATCAGTAGATGAGAAGAACTACAATAAACAAAATCGATATTTAAATTGAATCATCCCGAAATGAAGTATTATTTGATTCTCCTATTCATAGATTTGGTTTAGAAAGTATTGGATCCCTAAACAAATTCATAGAAACAATCAAACTAAGTTAAAATCGGACGGATCCAAGTTTTCCTAGTTTTTGCACAAATGTCACTACTCTCAAGTTCACGTGCTCCCTCCAAGTCGCAAGGAAACAAAAATAGTAGTTAGCTTTATATGCCAACTTCTTGATCTTTTGACATGGATGGATCCCCATTTTTGCCCACCATTTCTCCACTAAAAAAAGAGAGCTCTCATTGCAAGAGGATAAAGTAATATCATTCATAAGTATATGACCCAATAGTAATGAATTTGTTTGATTTAGGACTTAGATTTCTGATACAAAATATCATATGATAAAACTTTGGATTTTGCTACGGTGACGTGCATGTCACGGTGACATGCACTTTTCGGTCGACCTCATATAGGATTAGGTCGACCTAATATGTTGTTTCAGTGTAAAAACAGTTTCATGGTGTCTACTTTGGAGATTCATATCTTACAATTGGCTAAATGGAAATTGGAGATTAAAGGCTTGTTTTGAAGCTGAAGTGTCCCTCTACACATTAAAGTACTTGGGAGCTCAATAGAAAGTCTAGAAGACCATTTTTGAACCTGACCAAAAGGCTATGCCAAAACTGGGAAACTGCCTGAAAATGGCTAAGTCTGGCAACGTGTTTGTCAAGCCTACTTTGGAGCTCAATTTGAGAAGCATGGATGCGAGTCAAGTCCAGGGGCTTCTACTACGTTAAATTAGGTATTTTTTATACAAAGGCAAGGCATTGGATGAAAGATTGAATATCTTTAAGGCTTCAAACAAAAGGCTCGAAGTTGCTACAAAGGCTGTTTTTCTGGCAGCTTGCTTGTGCTCGAAGTCTGCCAGAAAAACAGCCTTCGTAGCAACTTCGACCCTTTTGTTTGAAGCCTTACAGATATCCAATCTTTCATCCAATGCCTTGAATTTGTATAAATATATACCTAATTTAACGTGGTAGAGGCTCCTGGACTCGACTCGCACTCATGCTTCTCGAATTGAGCTCCAAAATAGGCTTCACAAACACGTTTCCAGACTTAGCCATTTCCAGACAGTTTCCCAGTTTTGGCATAGCCTTTTGATGAGGTTCAAAAATGGTCTCCTGGACTTCCTATCGAGCTCTCAATCACTTCAATATGTAGAGGGACACTCCAGCTTCAAAACAAGTCATTAGTCTTCAATTTCTATCTAGCCAATTGTATGATATGAATATCCAAAGTAGGCACCATGAACTGTTTTTACACTAAAACAACAGATTAGGTCGACCTGATCCTATATGAGGTCGACCGAATCCGAAATGAGGTCGACCAGATCCGAAATGAGGTCGACCGAATCCTAAATGAGGTCGACCTAATCCTAACTGAGGTCGACCGGAAAGTACAAGTTACCATGACATGCATGTCACCGTAGGCACACCCTAAAACTTTACGATACCAAAAAGCATCGATTATTTCTGCATCTTGAATCATCGGTCATCGTAATTTCATTATCTGGAAAATGAAACGGACAAAAAAAAGGGCTAGAAAAAGATGTTTAGCTTTGCCATTCTTCCGAGTTCTTTTTCTCTTTGGTTTTCTTCTGCAACTAAAAGCTACATACATAGGCACTCATTTGAAAACTCGCCACCTCCAAGAAAGGTTGCATCTTTTCTTCTTACCCATCTATATTTTACAATATATCTTCTCAACCTATACAAAAACACAAAAAAAGAACCCCATTTCCCCCAAAGTTTCCCCCTTGATTGAGTTCTATTAGAAATCAAGAGGTCAAAACACAGAAGAGAGAGTGGGGAAAAGGGTTGAGTGAAGAGCAAGCAACCATCACCAGACCTCATTTCAGTACTTGTTTCATTTGTTTGCTTGGCAAAAAAGTTCTGCGCATATAGATTTATCTTCTATATAAAAGCCCTGGTGTTTGTTTTTGTTTTTATTTTTATCAGGGATGATTCTGAAGTCGATGATGTGGGTATACTGAGCTACTACTAGTGCTCGCCTGCTGCCCGCCAAAACTCATAGCTGGATGAAGCAGCTCTGCCTGAGGGAATGAACCATTCGACGGCACATCCAGCAGCAGGTCTTGATCAGAGCTCTCATCGACGAAATGGAGGGAGTCCAGCACGAAGGAACCACCTCCTTCAGGAGGCAACGCGAATAGACTCTTCGGGCTGAAGCATGATGCATCGTTGTCCATGATTTCCCTACTATTGTTCTCATAACCCGTCTTTGTTGAACTCCTTCTCGGGCTCATCATCTTCACCTCTGGAGGGGGAAAAAACATGATTTAAAGCACTGAGAAGATCATGATATAGAAGAAATACCGGCATTGATGTAAATTTGGGTTCTTTCAGAGAGACTTTGGGTAACCGGATGATGGAATTGAACTTCACCCGTCAATCATGGAATTTACATTCCAGCTAGCGATACAATTGGATTCTGTTAAATCGTCCTTAAAATTACCAATCAGATTATGGAATGTCTAACACTTGAATAATTCCAAGGAAATGCAGATGACGTTCAGGGCCAAATTCCACTGTCCAAACGACCCCATAGGCATCTAATCATGATAAAGGATTCTTAAACAAGCATCAAACTGTCAGCAGTCAATTTAACGAGGATGGTAGCTAACCTGGGATCTTCGAGCTCTCACGTGGTCTTTTGCCCGTAGTAGAAAAGTTTGATGCCACATTCGGTCCCTTTACAGCAGGAGGAGACTTTCCACGATTGTTTTTGCATTTCTGTACCAAGAAAAAGGCAAACAAGAACTCAGTATCATTCATTGTCAAATGAATCATATAACATGTGCTCGCGAATCCAATTTCAGAGTTCAGACCTTGAGTAGATGATAATGCTCAACCCACTTTGACTTTGAGGGGTTGCATAAAGTGAGTCTCTTGAGAGTTTTACAATCTTCGGTCTTTACCCCTGACAAGGACAGATCAAAGACCCCTTCTGTTAGAAGTTGTTGATAGGAAGACAGGTTCTCCTTGAACTGAGGGCTATCGAACATGCTTCTGATGCTGTTAGATGTAAATAAAAAATCATTGTCAATAATAAGCCGTAACTAAGCTTCCTGATCCGACGTAAAATCAAAGCAATGGTTTATAATGCATAGCCTGATGCTACTTGGTACAGTCAGCATAGTACAAAGACCAACCTGTCCGGAAGTTTGCCAGTATCAAGTGCAGGCAGAAATTTGAGCAACTGCTGCTGCTCTTCGCTCGTCAAGTGTTCTGAAAACTCCTTGAAGTTAAGAACACACTGCATGGAAAGTGAACAGCCATTGTCAGACAATGGAAATCTACAAATCAAGTAAAAGAGAATAATGTTCTGAAAACATCTAAGTTCAGGTAACGTTGATTGTTTGACAACAGTAAGTATACAAGGACTGCAACAGACGTCGAAATGGAACAACCTACTACGCTAAATCATTCATATGATTGAAAGCGAGCACAATAACAGTGATAATATATAAGATCCTCTATGATTTTAGGATGATGTCTAGAAAGAGGCCATCTTGTCGGCAGAAAAACAAACGTCTCATTGTGCCATTAAATAAGGGGATATTTCTTATCATCGCAAGAGAAAAAGAAAAGGAAATGTTAGCTTACATTCAGATCAATATTACACAGGGGTGAGTTATGATGCCCAAGAATTTGCACTTTCTCGTTCTGAGACTTGTCCCTGAAATTCAATAATAGAAGCATGCCGTTAAGCTTTGAAACTGCTGATCCTAATTCCTTCTATTCCTGAAGTTATTCACAACTACAGCATGATGCAGATGTACCTATTAAGCTGTTCTTGCTGCTGCATTCCTTGTCCAGGAAAGTAATGAGGTTTCTCAATTACAGGATCAAGAGTCTTGATGCACTTGGTGTTTCCATTATACGCATGACTAAAATTCACGGAATGGGAATAAGCTTCATTTGCCGGGAAGAACTTGTTCTCTATCGAAAGTGAGCTAGCCTCAGACTCTTCATCTCGAGCTATTGCACTAGGATGCCGGATGAGGACACTTCCATGCCCTATCTCAACAGAAACCATTGGCGTTTCACTCTCGAAAAGCAAGTCATCTTCAGAAGTACCAGAAAAGCAAGAAGACTGCTGTTCATGCAAGATGGTGTAGAGATCTTTTGTAAGCTTCTCAACTGGAGATTGTTTTGGACGATTCACGCATGTTCTTTTTCTAGAAGGTACCATTGAGTCCCAGACAACTGTTTGAGATGGACCTGACAAAAACATGGTGTTAAAATTCTCCTATACCAACATACACGAAACATTTTGACCAGCAGTTCACAAGAACAATAACATTTTTCGCAGTTCATTAAGATGAATATTAGTGAAAGCAAATGAAGGAAGGTCCAACCTGTCAATTCACTTGCATCCATGCTACCAAAATGAGCACAACTCTCAGAGTTAGATATGGCTGATCCTGAACTCGATCTATTACTAAAATCTTCATCCATAACCTTCCGGCTACTCTGCACGTAATCAGATGCCATTCCTCCAACCACCCCAGCATCAAGGTTTGGCTTTCGTTTGACAAGTTTTATTTCTTTGTTTCTATTAAGAGATATGTTCTTCAGCCTGGCAACTCTCTGATCCTCATATTCATCGGGATCTGCCCGGGAGTGAAGAGGTGTATAGTTTGCCAGAGTTCCCTTCGTCCTCCATCTAGACCCACACGCATTGCACAACACCGGCTTTTCAGGGGGTCCATTGCGCCAGAGAGGTGTGCCTAATCCAAAAAGTCAAATATACAAGTTTAATACACAAACTAAAAAGCAGCTATCTTGGAAGCCAAATGGATCTCGGTCCAACGAGCATTTTATGAGGGAACTGCAACCTGGTAGTGTCTACTAGAACTATAATTAGCAGCTCAAACTATAGCAAACAAATAGAACAAGATTGACTCTCTTAGCTAGCAATGTAGCATCCCTTAGCTGGTCCTAAACACAAGCCTGCACCAGTAATACAGAAACCAAAAACTCAATGCAAAGGCTCCTCATTCAGTAAGCGGAAAGAATAGCCATGAGGAATCAATCAACAGATTGTTTAACCAAGGATTGCTGAAAATGGGAAGAAGCATGTGAAGATTGCCAAATGGTTTCTTAAAACAAGTTCATTAATGCTAAGAAGTGTAGTAGAATTGGTCCCCACAAAATAACATTTTGATCGATTGACGGAACTTAGTTTAGCACCATGCTAAACTAATCAAAGACATTTGTTTATCTGTAATGGAGGGATTCAACAAAAGGTAAAAGAAGCTAGACATTGCAACAAAACTCTCGCCCTCCAGCAGCTTTACATTGTTTCGTATCACAGCAAGTTGGTCCACGAATGCCACATTAGTGGCAAACAGCTAAATGGACCAAGGTCCCTGCAACGAGAGAACAAAATGCTTTGAGGAGACAACTCAGTGGAGGAAAGTTTTTGAAGAATTCGACAGAAAGCCAGCAGAATGCCACCAAGGAATCACATTTCCTCCATCGAATGTATGCGTTTCAAACCCATTGTAGTTTGAGTAGGTGCTACTGAAGTTTACTTTGAAACATGACCCAAGAAATACCATTCAATCAAATTAGAAACTCATTGCTGCCGAAGAACAGCGACCCCAAAAACCAAAGGAACCCAAAAGAACCAACCCATCTGAGCATGTTCGACGAAAATCAGAATAATGGTAGCGCAGCAAACAAAGAGAGAGAAAGAGAGAGAGAGCAGATAACAACAAACAACAATACAGCACGCTCCATTTCATTTCATTGTGTCATTTGTTGTCCATCCCAGCTCTTCAATCATATTCATATATGACATTCATCAGGTCAATGAATTATTCTTAGTTTTCTTCTTAACAGGCGAAAATTGATTAGATAGCAATACATAGTAAGCAATTCATCAATCCAATTTCCTCACTCCATTTTCATAACCAAGAACTCACTTGTAACTCCACAGTGATAGCAGGGCCCTTCCTTCCCCATGAGTCTATCTCTACCTCACTTCCTACTCCTTCCCTCTCTTTCTTCTCGAAGGTAGTAATTCAAACAAAAAACCAATTCACAGAAAACCCCAAATTATCAAAACTTCCTCAGAATTCTGCAAAACAATAAGATTTGCTGGGCTGTGTTGGGGAAGCCTGTAAGGCAGTAGTGGGCAAAAAGACGGTTTTTCTTCTTCTTTAAAGCAGAACGCAGAAGAGTTTTTTTCTTTTCTTTTCCCAGGGAGGAGTTGTTGAAGCTGAATATAACTTTAACCCAGAAAATACAAAGGAGCAAACATTGAAATGGTACCCAAATAAAGGGGGAAAACACCCAGCAAGAAGAAGAAGCAAATATGCAAAAAAGGAGATTTTTTTATGGGTATTATCAACTGGGAATCGGTACAGCCCAATGAACAAGAGAAGAAAAGTTCATATAGAGGAATCTCTAACAAATGGCTGTGGAAAAAGACGAAGGAAGGTGAAATGTGAGGGGGGAGAGAGAGGAGATGGACAACTGAAAGGAAGAGGAGATGAAGAAAAAGAAGTGTATTGTATTGTTTTGTATATGAAGTTAAATGTTGGAGCTTTCTTTGCTTTCTTCCTCCTCTCTCTCTCTCTCTTTTTTCTTTATTTTGTTTCAAGAGTGGTTTTGGGGTTAACACTTAAATATGTTTATTGAAAGGTTTCATTAACTCTCCTCTCTTTTGGTTGAGAAATGGGAATTATAAACAAAACAAAAATAGTTATTAGAAATAAATATAAAATTTTACACTGAATTTGGTTATATATTATATATATGTGTGTTTTTTTTATTTATTTCTCCATTCTTTCACTGATCAATAAAATTTAAATAAATATAAAACCTCACACTTCAAAATTAAATATGTCATAATTTTACATGGACTGGTATGGTTCGTAAATCGTAACCGGTTTGGTCATATATGAATTGAATCACTATCCACTTTTACCTTTTCATTTTCCAATATTTTTTTTGTGAAACATTTTCCAATATTTTATTGTAAGTTATCTGAACTTTTTTTTATTTCAATACAATGTAAACTGAAGTGGGTAGGAAGATTGATTTGGAGATATAAATTCCATTATTAAAAGTGTTATTAATATAATAAATTGATTGTTATTGCATTTGTTTGGGAATGTTGACTATAGACTTTTCTTTCTCTTCTTGCACCTCTAAATGGGTTCTTGTTGCCATTTCCTTCTTTCCCAAACACAGACTTCCTTGGGCAAATACAATAAATTATTGCAAGTAAAAAAGGACCCAACTTTCCCACAAAAATTAAAATGCAATAATAACATGGGGTAGCAAAGTGTAATAAGTGGATATCAAACCCCAAATAAATAAATAAATAAATAAATAAATAAATAAGCTTTCTTCCCCAAAAGAAAATGAGAAAAATAGGAAGGAAAGCCATGACCTTAGAACAACCAAAAAAGGGAGAAGGAAACAAGGAGGGAGTTTTGTTTGGCTTGGCTGCTTTCTTCTCCTCCTCTTCTTCTTTTTTCCATTTTATTTTTATTGCAACAATGAGATAAATATTTGTTTTATAGCCTTATGCAAGTGATGACATGATGAGATGTGTTGATAAGTATTGTTAACTTGGGGTTTTGGGAGTTATTTTCTTCCTATAACACATTCATTAATTAAAAGAGGCATGTACATGGTCACCTCCCACTCTCTCACCACCACCATTGGAATAGATGCACTCCAAAGAGGATTTGGCCATGGCCCCACAAAAATACAATTTTAAGCACTTTGTGTTTTGGTTAATTTTTTTCAATTGAAGCACTTGGTAATTATGTGGTGGTGGTGTTCAAGGTTTAATTACCTTGCTTGAATTATAACTGATTTTCACTCCAGGTTAAAACAAGCCTTCTTATATCACATTTTTTATAAGGGTGATATAGATTTACTTTTTGTGATTTTAAGTACTATTTACATAATTCGAAACTGGGATGCCATATATTTGTATTACGGAAAGTTTCACGGTGTACGTTTTCATGATAATAAGCCTTCATGTGTTCAACAGTCCTTTGAGGTGGAGAGCTGGAATGGCAAGAGCGCTTGGGCATGCATTCAGGTAGAAACAAGGTTGTCAACCCGCGGGTTGACCCACTTTGACTCTAACCCGGTGAGAAAAACGGGCCGCACGCACCCGCCGGGTCGACCGCTATAAGGTACTGGGTTGGAGGGCAAATTGTGCCATTTTATTCTTTGTTTTGCGAAATGCGCCTATTTTCCGATTTTTCTTTTCGCCTAACTTAATCTTTGGAATCCTAAGTTGAACATTTGAATATTAATGTTATATAAGTGTGTGTGAATTTTCACTATATGTTGAATCTAAGTACGAAATGTTATTTTGGTGTAATATTATATGTTATAACTCATATGTTAGATGAGATTTGATATAATTTATCAAGATAAGTACAATATAATGACGCTTTCCATATTTCCGGGCTAAACCGGGCTAAAACGGGTGACACATTAACCCTTGACCCACTAGCTCAACCGGGTCCGGATCAACCCGCGGGGTTGACAACCTTGGGTAGAAAGCATTTGTAGCCTTTAGACTTTAGAGGTAGCAAATAGATTAGATGCATGGATTGGTGGATTTGGATCAAATTAATTAGTGAATTTATGAATTAGATCAAATGGATTAGTTGATTGGATTTATGGATCCAAGTAGCATCTAAACATTGAACTAATATGAAAATTTTAGGAACTAAAATGTGATAATAAAAAAATTAGGTGCCAAAACTTAATTTTCCAATGACATTTCCATTAATAACATAAATAATAGGTATCAAATCATAAAATATAAAAAAAATATAGGTACTAAACAATAATATTCAAAATATCAATGAATCCACCAATCCAATTGGAATCGGATTAAAATGGATTGGATTAATTTGATATTTTAATGGACGAGTTTAATTGGATTGATGGATTGTATACAAAATTTCCATCTCCAATAGTCTTCAACCATATCGTCTATTAGGGTGTTCAAATGGCGGGGTTACCGTGCTAACCATTTAACCAGTAGTATTCAGATAATTTAGTTTGACTAATTTGGATAATTGGTATCGGTTGGTTAAATTTTTTAGCTTGTTTGGTTTATGTGGTTTGGTTTGGTTTCAGTCATTCGTAACCAATCAAACAAATTAAGCAATAAGTCATATATCTAATCTATTATATACTCGTACTTAATACTTTGCATAATCACTTGAGAGTCAAATGCTCCTTCCCTTTGGATCAATGAAAAAAATAACTCATTATTGTTCCTATATAGTAATTTTCTTATAGATAATAGACAATGACATATGGTTGCCTAATTTAGATAAATCTCAAACATTTTGTTGGATGAAAAACTGAAAGACTTTTATCCATTGGTAATTGCTAAAAGACTAAGACGATTCACACAGACACACCCAATACATTAACCACATATTATGAGGTGGCTACTTCTAGTGACGGTAATATAATTGTATTAGTCGTAAATATATTTACGTTAAGGATTAACTATGTGTTAATTGTTTGATTTTATTCATTATATAAATTACAAATTAATGTGTTATTGAAATATTTTTCTCACCTAATGATAATGTTATGTTATATTGATTAATTGACCGATTAAACTTTAGTTTGGTTAATATAATTGTTGTATTAGTTTGATTGATTTGATAATTATAATGATAATCATTTTAACACTCCTATCATCTATGTGTGGACACATCTTTGGTTTTTAGCACAAATTTGAGCCTGCCCCTCCAACGTCAATGCACCTCATTTTAGGTCACTAGTCTTGTACACATGTAGCATGCATCTAAAGTAGTTAGGCTTTAGTGGTATCTTATTTAGTTTCCTATAAATTTGATCACCTACCCATGATATGACATACTATTTATTACTCTATTCAAGATATCGATGAGAGAACTATCTACTATTAAAATGTAAACTCACAAATCTACAAATATATTATAGCAGAGTTGTGAGAAGTTTTTCAGAATTTCAAATTTCGTGCAACAAGAGCGAAAGTAGGAAGAGTAATTGTGTCTTTACAATCATTATTTATTTTTTTTATTCATGAGAAAACACACATCAATCTCAGAATATGAACCATGGCCTTTTCAAACAAAGACAAGAACCATTACCAATTACACTAAAGAAATGTCTTGTATCTTTTACTAGATAGCCCGTAACTCATTAGTAAGTACTTTATATTTTATTTGATATTTGAATTTTCATATTTTGATCATTTTAGTTTGAGTTTAATAATAAATTTAATTTATGTCTATCATAAATGGAGGATGATTTTAAAATTTCAATCTAAATATCATTGATTCGAATATTGCATATTGAATTGCAGCATTGAATGTGTAGATGTGATGTAGAATTCTTAACTTGGTATTAATTTTTAGAACTATTATAGCAACGATATTGTTATGCAAATTGTAAGTGACCAGTTTTTTGAAAATTATAGTTTGATTATCCGTTAAATCCTATCTCTCGATAAATGGCATGATTGGACAAATGGGTGGGTTTAAAAGAACACAATTTCCGAAATACCAATTTTTCTAGATGATTTCAATTATTTAAATCTTTTATCTTATATGGGCATTGACCGTATGTATCATTCATAATTACTTAGTTTAGTATGAAATAACCGCAGTACAAGACAAATCGTGAAAATCGGGCCGGAGTTTTCATGGATGCATTTATGTGGTTATGTGAATTAGCAAGGTAGGTACCACAAGATATACTTTTTTTTTTAGTGAATAAGATTGTTCATCAACTAAATATAGAGTATGCTGGTTGATAAATAATTTTTTCATTGCATAGAGTATGGATGAAAAATGTTATTTTCTTACTAATTTTGTTATTGTATTGTGCAAAATGCTTTAAGGTTTAGATATTGCAGTATTGCTATATATGTATTGTTTCTCAAGCAAAATAAATAAATATTGACTAAAGGTTATGTTCATGAGTTTCCTATTTATGCTACGCTTTTTCAGACAAACTCTTTTTTTTTTTTGTTATGTCAATTCTCTTTTCAATCATAGGCAACTAAGTGACTACATCATTAAATAGACAATTTATGAATGATTACTCATGAGTGCTATAACCAAGATTGTTACACCAATAACGAGCGGTTGGTTGGACAAGGTCCGACGAAAGTCGAGCTAAAAAACGGGCTGTACAAAATCAAGGTTCTGATCGTTAGAGAGGGAGAAGAAGAGAGAGGCAAGGGGGAGAGGCAAGGGATGGTGGGTGGATCTTGAGATCGATTTTTTTTTATTATTATGTAATTTAAGTTTTTAATAGATATAAATCAATACATTTCATTTCAGTCACTAAATTACTATCTTATATGTAAATATATTTAGAAAATGTATAAAACGGCTCAAATAGGTTGGATTTCGATCAAACCATTAAACTTTAAACTGCTTGCTTGACAGGCTCAATCACTTAAACTGGTTTGACAACTTTGGTTATAACCATTAAGATTACAATGTTCATCAGTGATGAAAAGTTATAAGAATTTCGAAAATGAAAAAATAATTTCGATGTCATCTTATTGTCATACGAAATTCAGCATTTCAAATAATTTAAAATTTAAATACACATCATAATTCATAATTACATTGTATTCAAATAACATTCCGACCAACGGGTCGGACAACAAACTAGTATACAGTTAGAGCACTCCTTTTCTACCCAGGGAATGACAAAACGCGCAACCACAATGACTCAATTACAAATTCATACCAACTAAGCTAGAGTTTTTATTATTATTATTTGGGCGATGGATTTAGGTCGCAAAATAGATAACATATCTCTTCGATTTTCACCCGGTCAAGAAGATTAGGGCTTGTTTGCTTGACCGGGTGAAAATCGAAGAGATATGTTATCTATTTTGCGACCTAAATCCATCGCCCAAATAATAATAATAAAAACTCTAGCTTAGTTGGTATGAATTTGTACTTGAGTCATTGTGGTTGCGCGTTTTGTCATTCCCTGGTACTAGCTAAATCCAATATTTGCTTCAAGTAAGGTCGTTTGCTTGTAGGATTTTGATCATGGATTTTGGATTAAAATTCAACACCCATGGGATTATACACCAAGTCCATGTTTGGTGTTAAAGTGGTGTTGGATTATGATGTGTGGGCCCCATTTATGTGGGATTATTTTGAGGTAAAAATCCATGGGGTCCATGGATTATAAAATATCACCTATTTAGTTGGGATTTTGTGGGAGGCTAAAATCCATGATGGTAAATGACGGGTCTATCCTCATCTCTTTTCAATATTTCCTATATTGAACATCAATGACACAAATCATTAAGGATACAAATGTAAATTCAGCCTATAATTAATAAATCCCATGAACACAAATCCAATATGAAATTCAACAAGCAAACAAGCACTTATTAAAACCCAACACAAATCCAAAGTGACAAAATCCCACAACTGCACATAATCCTTCATCCATAAAATCCAAGGTTTTACCTAAATTCTTTATTTTTTAAAATACTACAAGAAAACGAGAGGTAACTAATCCGTGGGACCCATGGACTTTGAAGGTCCAAATCTGTAGGCCCCACGGACTGGAAAATCCCACCTCTTTAGATGGGAATTGATCATGGACATTTTTTCTTACAAGAGGACAATATAATTCCATTACTTGTAGCAAAAGCCAAGGGTTACAAAAAGGGGGCAACAACGTCAAGAATTTGAACCCATTCAGAGGGTAGAGTATTCTTGGCACATGGTCTAGCTACCCAGTTTGCTTTCGAGTTGCTCTTACGACCAATGTGCATGATCTTAATCATTGGATTAGATTCCATCGTTTGTCTGATAATGCCAATCCATGTTGCCGCTCACCATGGCCATGATCTCGGGTGGTCGTGGACTGCATGAACAAGGGGCAAACAGTCAGAACGGACCAGGCAGGGTGATCGGAGCTCAGCCGGGAACCCTCCAAGAGTGCCTTGGCTTCAGCTTCAAGTGGGGGAAAACAATGCATGATCTCAGCTTTACCATCACACACTTGATCATGGTTGTTTGAGACAACGACGCCATATGCCGCCTCCTGAGAATCGTTGAAAAACCGATCCATCGCAGTGTATCTCAAAATCATGAGTACTTGGCGGTGATGAAAGTGATCCGGTAATTGATCGTGGACATTGAAGTCCATCATTTTTACCAACCCTACCCCTCATATTTTCTTTCTCTTCTTATATCATTGAGGGCAATAAAGGTAAATTACACTTCATACATACATATTTAATTAATGAAATACATCAAACAAAGAATGATGTTTATCAAATCCATCATGCATAAAAAACCCTCATATATTCATGATTTTCAAAACTCAAATAATACCAAAATTTTTATTTTTCAAATCCACGAAGCAAACGACTCCTAGATTTTGGCAATACTTTAGGCCTAAAGGGAAGGGAGACTTTTGGTAGAAGAGGCCATTCAAGAAACCCTAGCTACCCTTCACACTTTCTTTCTCCTAAAGAATAAACAATTCTCCCTAACGAATCTTTGACATCTACATTTTCAGCTCAATGAACTCATTGGCCATGACACTAACTCAAATATGGTGAAGTCAATTTCAAACAGCATAAGCAAGGGCGAACCCACCTTTAAGGAATGTGTGTCACCCGACATTCTTTTGTTTCAATTTTTTTTTTTTGAAAAATCCACATTTTTCGGTGTAAAAAATCGAAAATGGAACCTCCAACACACCACTAATAATTGTAACTGACACACCTTATTACATTACAAAAAATTGTTGTTATGATGTAATTAAAATATGTAAATATTGATGTTATCAGACTTCAAATTAGGTAGTTAATTAGTTGGTTTTACATAAGTAAACAATTAATTGGCTACTTACTATGTGGTGAGTATTCAGAAAGATAGTTATAACCTTAGAGATAACCTCGATAATTTGAATGATAATTAAATTGATTAATAAGCTGGTTGAGTCAAGTAATTATATAATGAACTCCAAACTGTCTTTCTCCATAGTTTCTTTCATATATTTTTCTTTGAGTTAATTTTCAAATTGCTTTTTAGTTTAGTTATCTCTTTCCACATTGACGCTTGTAGCCACCCCCAATTGTCGGCGTCGAGCCAACAACATCATCATTCTCGTTCAAACTTCCATGTTGACGCATGTGGACACCCTTCTAGCTTCTCATACCAGCTTTCTCATCCTAAATTACTATTGATTTTACCTCTTGCAACTGCAAGCTACAAAAAAATATTTTACATATATGAGTTTAATCGAGAACAATCTTGGGTATAGGTTGAGTGACCAGTTTATGAATAATTGTGTAGTTGTGCACATAAAAAATATTTAATTTGCAACCTAATGGACAAATGTAATTAAGAAATCTTTTAGAATATGAAAACTCATTGTGGTTCTCTGTAAAAAAAATAAAGAAATTGGTGAACTTTATGAATAAAATTTTATGTTTATTTATATTAATTATTTGTTTTTATTAATCCCAAAATTCTGGGTCCGCCATTGAGCATAAGAAGAAATTATGTGCTCAAAATGAAGTTATAAAACAATTAAAGCACTTAAATAGCAAAGAGTCTGTGTTCATACTCATAATATTTTTTCACCCTTCTTATTATACTTTTACAATAATAGCAACCCTAATATAAGTGGGTAGCGTCTATAAAAAAAATATAAAAGTGGGTAGCGCATGAACTTGATGATGCATGCTTTTCCTCTCCTTTTATTAACTGAAAGCAACGGGATGGCAGTAAAAAATGAATTGGAAGAAGAATGGTGAAAAGGGTGAAAGCAAGGTGCAAAAAGAAAGAAAGAAATAAAGGAAGAAGAATGGTCCAATTACCTTTTCAATAAAATAAAATAAAAAACTTCATAGCAAATCAGTTGGAAATAGTGTTGTGTGATTGAAGTTAGCGTGCTAACACTCAGTTTATTAGTATGATACTAATGTTAGTTTCAGTTAATATGAACATTGATGATTTTTTATTTTAAGTGGTTGACATTAATTCATGTGGATTTATAAAGTAACAGACACACTTGCCATTAGTAAAAATAAAAAGGTGCACGCGTGTGAATCTGTGCATTGATTTCACGTTCCATGCCTCACCATAAGTATCATGAAATAGAAAAAATACAAAAAAAAAAACACAACAAACCACATCACAAATACCATAAAACATATGAGAACTTCTGTAACACCCTACCCTATACGTTTTGCCTAATCATATTGTTCATACAATTGCAGCGGAAATAATCTCGGGGGTTACATTAATTATCAAAATTTACCTAAATAAAATTTCGACATGAATTACTCGCGTAATGGGCTAACAGTTCTTGCAACTTAACCTGCAAAATAATTCATCACAAACATATATACTCACAACCATATGCATTGGCTTTTCTTAGCCATAGTCACACTTTTCATACTTCCTAACTGCATACCATACTTATACATACCATAATCGTCACAACTTACACAGTTACACAACATATACACATATCATTAACTTTCCACACCTGTGGATATCTCACACTAGATCAGAAGCTAGTATGCACATGAAAAACGTTCTCAAAACATTCTTTTACAAAAAGGTGTGGATCACTGGCCAAAATCCCGAGTAGTAGTCCAAGCACAGAATAGTTGAAGACCATACCTCATCCTGGCTTCAACTCTAGCTCCTCTCCCACCTAACACTTATCTGCTGCTGCTGATGATCTGCTTACACATAGCATAAGCAGAGAAGAAGAATAAAAGAGGGTCAGCTCATAGCTAAGTGAGATAATCATAGCATCGTGAGTTCATAACATAGCATACCACTACCATACATCTAGCAAACAAGCCAAAGCACTAGGATCAGATCTCAGCCCTCCGACATCCCAATAGGCAAAAGACTCAACCACCTTGACTTATGCATATGCATCTTATCATGTTTTAATCATAGGCGCCTGGCTACTCCCATACTAATAACTCTCCCGGGAAACATACCCCACATCCCGTCGGATGTAGTCATACATACCCCAACATCCCGTCGGATGTGGTCATACATACCCCACACCACTATGGGTGTAGTCATACCCCGACACCGCTCTGGGTGTGGTCATATCTCATAAGAATTCTTCAGTCACCACCACATGAGAGGTGTGACTATCATACATATCATAATAGAGTAATAGCATAGGGAGCCCTAATTACTATGTAGTTGACCGTGAGATCACAACACTCATATTTGGTATCCTTATACATGATTCATATCTCATCTTGCTTAATCATAATTCATTACTTGCACATGTACTTGACCTGGCCATAATTGGCTCAACATAGGTAAACCAGGAGTCGTATAGTTGCACTTCCTCGGGATAAACCCTCGTGCAAGTCATCCTCCTTAAAACATCATGATATCACCAGGGAATATATATTTTCCCACTTGTGCATCCAAATACAACAATCATGAAAAATCATATCCAATCACCTTCTCGAACCATCATAAGGCATATTCACAATTAAACCCACATCTGGCAACATATATGGAATTATCAACATAAACAAGGTCCATATCGATTAGGGCAAGTCAATAATATCATACAGAAGCCTATAGTTCATCATATAGCAGAGAAGTCCATACACCCATAATCATGCCATTCTAATTCACCTAGGTCAATTCTAAGCATCAATATAATTATCGTGATACGACAAACCCGGTATGCCGTGCTAATCCCTCACCAGTTCTGGTCGTTCAAACACCGGTTTAAGCTTCCCGTACTAAAACGTCAATTTCACGAACGAATCCCGAATTAAAATCCGAGACCGTCCTAATATCCCCTGCAGTATCCCGGTCAATATTAGTTCTAGGCTCCGGGTCAAATTCTCGATAAAAGCACATCAAACCCTGGCCGGAGCTAAATTCAGCGGTTTGGACCCCGGCCTAAATAATAGCCGAAATTCAGGGATTAGAACTAGAGGATTGATTACCTCGCTGCAGGAAGCTCGTATATGAAATTTGGGCTCAATCCGGCTTCCGGATACTCCGAAACCCTAATTTGGCAGATCGGGAATTCAAGAAATTCCTGAACCAAAAACTCGTTTTAAAGCTCTAAATCGATAAAACACGATGTATAGATGAATTAGGCATTACTTACGGGATTTTTGGATCACTAGAGCTCAAGATTGGAGCTTTGGAATTTTTCCCGGTCGCTCCCCTGCACTTCGCTCGCTCTGCTTCTCTCTCGGACCGAAATTGGGAAAAGGAAGGTGATGGTGGAATTAATGGACGGTGAAGAATTATATATGTGTTGTTACCGCCTAATATATATATATATATATAATTAATACGTATACTTATCCGATCGATCGATAATCTGATTTTCACCGAAATAGTGTCGAAATGCTCTATTTTAAATCGTGAAATTTTCTAGCGGTCGAAATATGGGTTTTGCCGTAACGGGATGTTACGATTCTCCCCTCCTTAAAAGATTTCGTCCCCGAAATCTAACCTTGAGTCATTACCTAACTCTTAGGTTAGGCAATTCATAACATAGAAAGTAACACATAACACCTCAAGTTCCCACGTTTAGGTTTCAAAAACCTATACTGGGCTATCACAACAAAAGCACATCAGCAAGTTCAAAACATATCTTATTAGGCAAGATTGTTAACCTGCAATCTCAACTGGAACCTCTTCAAATGTCAAATCTGAACCCAACTCGATCTCTTCTGGTTGTATAACATGGGAAGGATCCACTTTGTACCTCTTCAGCATACTAACATGAAATACATTGTGGATTTGAGATATTTCTGGAGGCAATGCTAACTTATAAGCCACTGGTCCAATCTTCTCTGTGATTTCATATGGGCCAATATATCGAGGTGCAAGCTTTCCTTTCTTACCAAATCTCATCACCCCTTTCCATGGTGACACTTTGAGAAAAACTTTCTCACCCACTTCGAAATGAACTTCACGCCTATTCGTGTCAACATAAACTTTCTGTCGATCTTGAGCCACCCTCATACGCTCCCTGATTTCCTTGACCTTATCAACTGTGATCTGAACTATCTCTGGCCCTGAGATTTGCCTTGCTCCTTCTACATCCCAACATAATGGTGTTCTACACTTCCTCCCATAAAGTGCTTCATATGGTGGAACACCCAAGCTACTATGGTACTGATTGTTGTAAGCAAACTCAATTAAGGGCAAATGGTCAATCCATGATTCCTCCCATTGCATTACACATGATCGAAGTAACTCCTCTAAGGTAAGGATGGTTCGTTCACTCTGCCCATCTGTTTGAGGATGATAAGCTGAAGTAAAATGCAGTTTAGTTCCCAAGGCATCATGTAAACTTTGCCAAAACCGAGATGTGAAGCTCGGGTCTCGATCAGATACAATAGAAATTGGCACACCATGAAATCTGACGATCTCCTTAATATATAGTTGAGACAAAGTCTCCAGTGATGGTTTCCATCTAATGGGTAAGAAGTGAGCCGATTTGGTCAGTCGGTCCACAATAACCCATACTGCATCTTTTCCCCTTGATGATGGGAGACCATATACAAAAACCATTGTGATTCTTTCCCACTTCCATTCTGGAATGGGAAGTGGTTGTAGTTTTCCCACAGGAGCTTGATGTTCTGCCTTAACTTTCTGACATACCAGACACGTGAAAACATGTTCAGCCGCTTCCTTTTTCATCCCACGCCACCAAAAATATGGTTTGATCGTGTGATACATTTTAGTTGCTCCTGGGTGCATAGCATAAGCAGAAGAATGAGCTTCATCTAGGATCTCTTTCCTCAAGTTATCAACATTAGGAACACATGCTTTTCCATTCATCTTCAACATGCCATCTACCATTTCAAATGGGCTTTCTTTTCCTTCCCCAATGTCTTGAATGATTTTTTCCAACTCTGGGTCCTCCTTCTGCTTCTCACGAATTTTGTCATGCAACAAAGGCCGAATGTTTAACCGAGCTAGTAACCCTGTTACACCATCCACTTCCAAATCAACATTCATTGCCCTCAAATCAAATAGATCCATTATATTCTTCTTGCTATTTCTGCTCAGAGCATCAGCAACTACATTAGCTTTACCTGGATGGTAATCAATGGTACAATCATAATCTTTCAACAACTCTATCCATCTCCTCTGGCGACTATTTAAATCCTTCTGATCCATGATATACTTCAAGCTTTTGTGATCAGTTAGGATTTTAAAAGTCTCACCATACAAATAATGTCGCCAAATCTTGAGAGCGAATACCACCGCTGCCAACTCCAAATCATGAGTGGGATAATTTACTTCATGAGGACGCAATTGCCTAGAGGCATATGCGATAACTCTTCCATCTTGCATTAACACACAACCCAATCCTTGATACGAGGCATCACTATACACCACGAACTCTCCATGGTTTGAAGGTAAAGCCAGTACTGGTGC